GTACGCGATATTGCTGCACGCGTTTGCACAAAAAAAGCGTTGGCGTGGGAAATATGCCTCACTAGGGTTGATAACTCGACCACCATGGGATGACCGGGTGCCATCCCGATATCTTCCTCCTAATCATTAATGCTTGCGCTGTTGTAGTGAATGTTTTCACCTGGTATCTTGTGTATCTTCAGCTGAGGGAACCAACATTCCACTACCTCGCGCCGCACGCCTGTGGGATGGGATATCGGACGGAAAGGCCGGATAAGAGTTGTCCAGGCCCATGGACCGCACATTTGGATTTCCACAAAACGCCGCAAAGAGTCAAATGCAACCATGGACAGTCGTGATAACATGAAATGGGCCAATTCTTTTGCGCCCCTTGTCCAGAGACAAAAAGTCGCTTTTGCCGTACAGAGTCGCGCCGTCGCGAACGCTTACCCGCTCTAGCGCATACAAGCGGAGGCGCCGTCGGCACGACTCGCGGTCAACTTCCTTCGAGCAAGGGTTCTTTTGCTGCGTATACCCCTGCTGGAGCGGAGCCTCCGTTTCAAATTCACACCATCGGATGCTCACCCGGTAAACCTCTCGCCCCATCTTGACAAAGTCGGGAGGTCATCCCGACGGCAGAAGAGTTGACTTGCCCCCTTCGAAATCAGGTTCCTCTCATGTCTCGCACACGCCACCGCGCCACCACAAGACCCGGCACATGAGGGAGGGCGTGAGACTCCAGACTCCAGTCCAGAGCATGGTCCTCCCCCAAGTTCAAACTTCACGATGAGTTTCTCTTAGTCACGCTTGCAGCACTAATGATGCCAATGATGGGGATTCAAGCCTCGAGACGTTGGGTTGACTTCCGTTTCCCCATGGGGAGAAGGAAAGACCACATGAGATGACGATTGCATCAACCCCGTTGGCAACTGGAACTCCTGGGGATCCATAGCGCTGCCACCATGAACCCGGAGGCACGGAGTTTGAGATTCCTCGGATGGCGGGAAAGCCTGCATTTCGGCGACGAATTAGCCATCATTCGACAACCACTTGGACCCCCAAAAGCTGCATCAGACTAAGGTGCTTTGTATTCGGGCGGCCCGTAATTGCTGATCGACTAGCACAGAGCATAAAGTATGACAGCAGGTAATTGACAGGCTCAACCAGAGTTTCTCTGGGCGTGAAACAAACAGCACAGCCGTCAGCCCTCTTTCTCGGTGCTTTACTATCTACAGACCCACGAGCTATTGATAGCGTGGACAGAATTCCGTCTTGGTCACTTTGTATCGTCGTATCCCCCGCAGCCATAGAGGAGAATACTTCTGTCAGAGCTTGTTCCCCATTGGCAGACACCCGGAGTTCCCACCGACGGGCAGATACCTATCAAGACAACACGACGACTGGACGCAACCATGCATGCGAGGGAGGCATGTGAGGTTCCCAAGGTTCGCAGTGTATCTCATGTGGCATCCTTCTGGAACGCCTTAACCTTCATCCAGCGCGGCTACTATCAACACGGCATGTGTATGGTGTATGATATCTCGTAGCCAAGTCCCTCCCCGGGCCGCCCAGCGTTCCGGCATCGGTCCTAGTCTACAACTCTTGCATATCTTAGCCACCTACTTAGTATCCGTACAGAAACCGAACGCCTACTTATCGCCGGTGCCATCTCGTGACATTTTTCCGAGACTAAGATAGATGCAGATAAGCCGTGCCCCCCTGGCCCGAGAGCCCAGAGCCCCATCAATTCGGTTCCACCAGGACCACTACCCCGCGTTCTCCTTTGGCAAAAAAACGTCACATCACAGTTGAGGCTCGCCCGGTACCATACAGCAGAGCACGCGATTTCCGCAGCCAAAGAACACGGACAACCCTTTTATGCCTGTCTAATTGCTCTATTCTCTACCTGGCAGTTCGAGTATAAGCCTTCCTAAACAGTGAAATGGAACCTGGAGCAGGCCGAAACAAGGTATCCAAGCGGTCGTCGAATGCGTAAGTTTGCCCGAGCCAACCACACCCACCTCAATTTCCCTCCCTTGTCAATTGGCCGCGATCGCGTACGACTTACACCATTCGATATCTAGCTGTGTGCGTTGTCGTCGACAGAAAATCAAATGCTCAGGATCTCAGCCGTGCGATGCATGTGGCAAGCGCAAACAGTCCTGCACCTTTGACGAAAGGGATCAAAGAATCGTCGTCACCAGAGGGTAAGTAATCGGGCCTGGCCTTTCAACCAGCGATTAGATCTAGGCATGTGTCCGGCTTACCATCCGTGTTCTAGCTACATCATCGACCTTCAACAGAGAATTGAACGGTGGGAGCGGAGCCGAAGCACCAATGAGCCAGCCCAAGTGTCAGTCGAGGGCGGCCAGCGTCCCGATAAAGCAGGAAACAGTTGGTTATCCCTAATTATCCTTACTTTGCATTGCAGAGAACATGTCTGAGCTGACAGTAGGAGATGAGAGCGACGGTGATTTGCCCATGAGGGATGAATCAAGTGGCCCGATCATTGCAGATGGTACGCATGAAAAGGAAAGTCAGGAGACTCGGCCTAAAGCGCCAATAGATCCTGTCGCGTCGAACCTCATCAACCCTCTGTCCACTGGACAGTCAGAGTACACATCGGCACCAAATGGAAGGCTATGTAAGTCATCTATACTGCAGCTCATCACTTTGATAGCAATGAAGCCTAACAAGAGGATAGTCTACCTGGGGACGTCATCCAACTGGTCTTTCACCCGCCGAGTCCTCAACATCACACACCAATACGTCCACAAAACCCCATTGCCGTCTAATGCACTTCTTTTCGATGGCACGACGTACGTCCTCGACTGGGATGGCTACAGAGCCAGCGAAGCCCCCGAGATGCCAGCCCTTCCGACACAGGACTATGCCATCTACCTGGTCAACGCCGTCAAGTTCCACTGCGGCCAAATGTTCCACCTCTTTGACGAAGAAACGTTTATGAAGTCCCTGTACAGCTTTTATTCTGACCCTAATCCTAGACCCGATCCTACCGATCCGTGGTTCATTCATTTCTTGCTCATTCTTTCTTTTGGAAAAGCCTTCACGACTAAGACCAACAGGGGGAGCAGACCCCCTGGCCATGACTTCTTTGTCAAGGCTATGCAACTGCTCCCAGACTTCAGTGTTTTGCTGAAGAACCATGTTCTGTCAACCGAGATCATGTGTTGCATTGCTCTCTATACGCAATGCATCGACTTCAGACATTGTTCATACAACTATGTAAGTTACCTTCTTCTTCCTTGCGATAATAAACTATACTGATGACAGGATACTAGATCGGCCAAGCACTTCGCATAGCCCTTGGAGAGGGAATGCATACAGACATGCCTGTCCAGCAACTAGGAGAGGCATATGTGGAAAGATGTCGGAGGTTATGGTGGACTGTACACATCCTTGACCGCGAGATCACATCATTGTTTGGCATGCCGCCTTCGATACATGATGATTATGTGCTCTGCCAACTTCCAACCTACTCTGGTTCAGTCCAGAGGACAGCGGCGCTGCGAATGCGTATCAAACTGTCAAAGGTTATTGGGAGTATCAATAGGAGTATGTGGCCCCCGGTCAAACTCCGCCTGAGAGATAAAGCTAACAGCGATACCAACCAGAGGTCTACGGTCTTGATGGAAGACTCAACAACAAGTTCATGCTTGGCACCAAAGAAGTGCTAGCCAGCGTGGCTGAGATTGCTGATGAGCTCCAACAATCATTTGCACTGCCTCTGGAAAGGGATACCAGCTGCATTTCGAGAACATCCGCCCATTTGCATTTACTGCATCATCAGGTATGTCTACTTTGATTGTCAGAAGAGCGTTAGAAACGAACTAACGTGGCTGCAGTGCATTGTTCTTGCAACCAGACCGCTGCTTTTCTGTTTTCTGAAAATTCGTTTTGAATCGCAGAGTAAATGCACAGAGCTATTGGGGTCTTCGCAGACGGTCAGAAATTTGATCCAGATGTGTATCGATTCTTCTCAGCAAATGGTTTCGATCCTAGACTGTCTGCAATCTCAGGGGTTACTAGGTAAGTCATCTCCAAGATTGATTGAAAATCACGTTCTTTTAGATTGACCAGGCTAACTTTGCATCTTTCAGAAACATTTCTTCCATTCGACCTGGAAGCCAGCTTCGTGTCTGCCAGCAGTCTTCTACTAGGACCCGCAATCGACCCACAATGCTTTGAGTGCCTCGACCCGTCACTGGAGAAAGTCTACTCCGTTCTGGACGAGATGATCATGGCCGGGAACGGGATCGCCAAGTACCGCAAATTTGAACTACAACAGCTTGAGAACATGCTACAGCGACTTACGCCTTGGCCTTCACAGGCATCTGAGCAGACGACTCTGGTAGACGAGGGGCGCCAAACGCAGCCCCCGGACGACACGAGTCCCCAAGACACGGTGGTCTCGGCCATGGCATCGGAACACTCACAACACGAGAGCTACTCTTCTTCTATACCGGGGAACATGGATGAGATGGCTTATGATAGCGGGCTGACTATGGCGCAATTACTGGATATGGCCAACTCTATTGAACAGGAAGATTCAGAGTGGATGTCTCAGACGATAGTGGAACATAGCATTTGGTAGATCAACAAGACCTGTCAAAGTCATGGCGGCGTTATCTCCCATTTTGAAACCCTGCCGAATGTACATGTACTTGCGTTTGCTTTAGAGACCATACTTGCTCATAAGTCCAAGTGACCTCTGTAACATAGCTAACATGACCGGTAGCCAGTCCGAACTTCTCAAGGCCGAAGTGTACTTGTAGTTTGACATCCATCTTTCACTATCACAGGATCAAACTCCGAGAATGGGCCGTGTCGACTACGACGGACAACTCGGAGAGGAAGCCGGTCTGTTTACTGTCAACAGACATGCCTGATGTAAGCCCCGTGTTTCCAGGTCTTTACGAAATCAGATATCAATGTCAAGGGATTCCTCTGAGATAAACATGATTCATGAATGATAAGACAATGCTATGTGGATAGATAATCTACAGCTTTGACGTCCTTGCCTGGCGGATCTTTGCAAACTCCTCAGTGTTTCCTAGGCGCCAGCTGACGGTATCACCCCACTTCCCTGCCTCCTTCTCTTGAGGTTCCTTCCAACGCCACCTTGCGACCGGCTGCTTGTTATCAGGAGCCTCCAAAAGGTTCTTGGCCCAGTCACCCACAAGCGGGATAAGCTTCGCGGCGTGACCAGAGTCACCAGACATGAGCACCACGGAGTCACTCGACTTAGGGACGTAATCGATGATGAAGTCCGAATCAGCCGTGTCAGCGAACCAGCAGATGGTCTGCTTGACAAGCGGACGGTCCTTGAGTGCCGGAAGCGTTTCCGCCAGCAGCTGCCGCACCTTGGCCTGATCGTGCGGCGGCATGAACTGGCTCTCCTCATACGCCGGCGGGAGTGAGATTCCCGTCTTGGGATCCGTGTTGACGTAACCTCCGCCCATGGGGCACAGCTTGAGCAGGTTGGTCTTCGGATCCGGCTCGAAGTAGAAACCGAGGTCGCGCGCGTAGGTGACGGGGATACCACGGAGCGCAGACGTCTCGTCGTCCGTCAGCTCGACGTGAGCGACAGACCAAGACTTGGCAACGACCTGCTTGCCGCACTCTGGAACAAGTCTCGCCGCTGCCGCGCCAGTAGCCACAATTACGAGCTTCGCCGAGATTTGACTGCCAGTCTGCGTCCTAATGCCGGTTGCCTTGCGGCCGGCGCCGGTGTTCTGGTACACAATCTCCTGTACGCCACCATGCTGTCCGAGGAAGAACTTTACGCCCCGTACCCGGGTAGCGTTGTAAAGGGCGATCAGGGCATTGCCAGAGTGGACATATCCGTCAAACTTGTTGAGGTAGCCCTTCCAGCCGGCACACGGGCCCTCGCCGTACTGCCAGACATTGTAGTTGATGTCCTGGCCACCCTTGATAGGCACCACGTACTTTGCGAGAAGGGGGTGGTCTTCCGAGGCCTTCTGGAACCTGTGCAGAGTCTCGGCGGCCCGCTCAGGGGCATTGGCCGAGACGCAATGAAGAAACCCTACCCTGTGAAAGGATGGTGCGAAAAGAGGCGTTTGCCATGCTTTCGCGGCTTCCTATTGCTAGTTAGATAGGCCATTTCTTGACGATAAGACAGCTCACTAGGGTTCAACTTACTATGGTGAGATTTGTGTAAAAAGGGTCCTCGTACTCAGCCCTGAAGATCTTATTGATATCGTTGGCTGCAGAGTCCCTGGGGGGTATTTGCTCGTGCTTATCGAAAACGGAGATGTCCGTGTAACCAGCCAAAGACAGGTGGTAGGCCGTGGACAGACCAAAGGCACCGGCGCCCACAATGATGATTGGGTCGGATTTACTGACACCCATGATGACGGTTGGAGGCTAAGGCGGAGATTAAGGACGGGATTGTGCGAATGAAAGCACTGTTGATTCAGTGTGAGTACAGGGCCCTTGAGCAGCACTACTAGCCATTGAAGTATGATATCTTCAAGCAGTCGTATATGACCTTCCGTGATCTTTCCCAGGACCGGCTGGCTTCGGGCCCTTGCCCCGGCTTCGGATCCAAGATACTGGAGATACTCATGGCACCATCTCCATCATGGGGTAGTTGGTTAGCGTAGCCGCGCCGAGCGGGGTGGTGGCCGTGGTGGAATCAATGCCGTGTTACTCTGTTCACGGCCGGGCAACTCGAATGGCCTGGACCTTGTTTGCGGCACAAGAGGCGTGGCTCTATGTCTGGGCTATCAAGGCGGATAGTGAGCCGATATCTGTCCAAGATACATCGGGAGCTGACCCGGTGGTCAACCTTCGCTTGATTGGTCACACTGACTCGAGTGGGAACTTTATTAACACGCCGGCCATCCAGCCGGTCATCCTACCGCCCAGCCACAGCTTTCATGGTTGCGTAGTAATGTTCGGCAAAGATATTGATACGAAAAAGATGAGAATAGGTATGGGCTAGTGATAGCGATATCACCTGGTTTCAAGAAATCCGTAGTCTTCCTATCGTTGAAGGAACTGACGCGTGATATGTTGGTAGCAGACTTGCAATCATGTGACTCTAATTCTCTAAGACCAAACTACCGCTGTAGTGATTCACTCAACATTTTGTTTGCATCTTACGTCACTTGCTAAGACCACAGGAAATGGAGCAAACCAAGGCCGCCTCTTACTTCAGCGTCGCACATGCGATTCTCCTCTTGGAAGTGGGCCGACGATTGCTTCAAGTCTCCGTACCGTACCTAATCAAATCAAGCTGAGTAACTGCGCCTGGGACGATACTCAGATGCAAGGTTGGTGGTGGACAAGGGTAGCTTCGCTTCTTTGCACAATTCGTGACACGACTTTTAGATTCAAGAGATGGGGTGAATGTAAAATTTGTTCATTTTTGACTATCCCTAAATTACACAATGCGCCATTTTGCATGCAACCGTGACCGCGACCCATTCGGTATCCCACACACTGCACTTACTTGTTGCTAGGGTACAGGAACTCAGTCTGAGGGAAGAACTCCTCCTTGATCAATCTGGGGCTGACGAAGCGACGCATGACGTCTGCGCTTCCTGCCTTGTCGTTGGTGCCACTGGCGCGGGCACCGCCGAAGGACTGCTGGCCGATCAGGGCGGCGGTGGTCTTGCAGTCTGGGAAAGGGTATGGAGTTAGTACATGGATACACACATCGACGTCTGTAGTGGAGAGGAGGAACATGGATTAACTCACTGATGTAGAAGTTGCCTGCGGAGTAGCGCAGGGCATCCTCGGCCTCGCGGATGGCGCGTCTGTCGTTGGCGAAAACGGCGCCGGTCAGGGCGAAGCCGCCGCCGCTCTGGTCGACCTTCTTCAGGGTGGAGGACCACTCGGCGTCGGGGTAGGTGGAGATAGCCAGGACGGGGCCGAAGATCTCCTCGTTGAAGAGACGGTGGTCCGGAGAGTTGGCCACGTAGACGGTGGGGTTGACGTAGTATCCATCGGAGCCGTCGTAGGTACCACCGACCACCAGCTTAAGCGAAGAGTCCTTGTTGCTCTCGTCAATGATATTCTTGATCTTGTTGAAGGAGCGCTCGTGAATGACGGGGCCCATGAAGGCATCCAGCTTGCCGTCGGGGCTTCCGATGGTAATCTCCTCGACCTTGGACTTCAAGCTGGAGATGAACTCCTCGGCCTTGGACTCGGGGAGGTAGACGCGGGAGGTGGCGGAGCACTTCTGGCCCTGGTACTCGAAAGCGCCGCGGATAGTGTGGTTGACGGCGTGCTCGATATCGGCGGTCGGGTGGATGAGGTGGAAGTTCTTGCCGCTGGTCTCGCCGACGACACGGGGGAACTCGCGGTAGGTCTTCTTGCCGATGCCCTCACCGATTCTGGCGTACAAGGAGCGGAAGACGTCGGAGGAGCCGACAAAGTTGAGGCCGGCGAATTCGCGGTGGTTAAGGACAACATCGGTCACTTCCTCAGCGTCACCGGGGACGAACTGAATGACGTTGGGGGGCAGACCAGCCTCCAGGAGGATGTTGTAGAGAATCTGGCTGGCGTAGATGTTGCTAGGCGAAGGCTTCCAGACAACGACATTGCCCATCAGCGCGGGGCCGGAGATGAGGTTACCGCCAATGGCAGTGAAGTTGAAGGGGGAGATGGCGTAGACAAAGCCCTCCAGAGGACGCCATTCCAGGCGACTAGATAATTTCATCAGCATTGAGTTCATTGAAGATCATCGCGTAGTCCACATACCTCCACATGCCGTCAGAGCCACGAGTGGGCTGCTTCTCGAGAATCTCTGCCGCGAAGTTGCAGTTGAGTCTGAAGAAGTCGGCCAACTCAGCCGCCGCGTCGATCTCTCCCTGCCACATGTTCTTGCCCTGACCGAGCATGGTGGCCGCAATGAGCTCATAGCGGTACTTGGTCACGGCGAGCTCTGCCGCCTTTTGGAAGATGGCAGCTCGGTCGACGAAGGGGGTGTTCTGCCAGCTCTCCTTTGCCTCCAGCGCCGACTCAATTGCTGACGAAACCTGCTCCTTGGATGCGAGGGGGAAGTTGGAGAACTTGGTCTTGTGCTCGGAAGGCAGTACGGTGTCGAAGGACTTGGCCGCGACCTGGGTCTGGCCGCCGAAGAAAAGGTCGCTCTTGGCGGGCAGCTGGGTGCGCAGCTTCTTGAGGGCCTCCTCGAGCTTTGCGCGCTCGGGAGAGTTCTTTGTGTATGTGGGCTGCAAAATGATCATTAGCCAACCCGTGAGCGTACCTCCTCAGATTCGGTTTGCAACTCACGTTGGGCTCGTTTCTGGGGTCGGGAAGTCTGAATGGCGCAGTCGCCTTCGTCCTTCTTTGTGTAAGAGCAACCGGGGCTGTTGTTGGGCGCAATCCTGATCTCAGAGATCCAACTGGTCTCGCAGACCTGATGACGCTGTGGACTTGCATTCTGACTGGTTTGATGGGTATAAAGCTCAAAGATAGAAAATGATACACGAAGAGCTCGTAATGGTTCTTGATGAGGTGATTATCGGTGATGAACCTGTGCTTTAGATGAAGAGAGCTTGCTGTTACTACTTGAGATCATATGACAGCTTCGCAGTCTCATCGTCTTATTTGACAATGGCTGTTGCACTAGGCCGGTCAAGCTCCCGATAGCTCTATGGCATCGTGAACCAATCAAGACCACAATCGATGTCATCTTCACAATCATGCCGAGATCGGACGGGGGTAGATCCCGGAGCGGAGGGGTTGCGGACGCCCTGCCGATATCTACATGCAGGGCCCCCGCCGGTGCGGAGTCATGGTGCATTTCCCCGCATAATCGGAGGTTGGGGGTCTTTGACAGTTGCATCCGGCGGCGTCTGTTCCCGTGCTCCATCGCGGTTAGAGTCCTATCTTGATATATGGTGGTTTTACGTAGTCAACGATGGCTTCACGGAGACAAGTCCGATTACGCTGCTACATCCACGGGTTCTGATTGACAAGTTTTGGGAAATACGGCGTCATGGCGAAGACAAATCGATAACATTAGCTGTGAGGCTCAGCTTTCACAACTTACTTGGAAGATAAGTTTGAAGCAGTCATAATGCTGTTAAAACCAGGAAATGGCTATCTATCACGGGCCATCCGTAGCACATCTGTCTCGATTAGCGGAGTTGTGGGTATAGAATGGGTGTAGAATAGAGATAAGTAGGGTGTTAGCCACGTCTACCAAGCATGGAAGACTATCTGCGCTCTCCTACCCAAAAACGCTTGTGAGAATGACTCGTCTCGAGACTCAACAAGGTCTGGAACACAACGACCACGAACCATGTTCCGTCTGGGGAAACTTGGCGGGTGACCTCGCGGCTGGCACCATCTCCGCAATCCTCATCTCTCCGGCAATCACAATCCTAGATCGGTAAGATAAATCTGCCCAGGACCCTTGGAATTTCATTGACTAAACAAAAACCGTTTGCAGAGCGGTAGTCGAGCGGACAACAACAGGGCGGCCCCTCATCCGAGGGCTCCACGCCCAACTACGCTCCGCCATCCGTCGACCCCGCGGCTTCTTCTTCGCCCGGCCCCTCGGGATCGTCTGGACCCTGTACGCAGCAACCTACGTCACAGCCAACGCCGCCACCACCGTGGCCGAGAGGTTCGACGGTGCAGCTGCCGCAGCGAGCACAGCTACCTTTGCCTCCACGTTTCTCGTCAACGTACCCCTCGGGGTGTGGAAGGACCTCCGCTTCGCAGAGATCTTTGGTTCCTCCTCCGGCGCCGCTCCCGATGTGGGAAAGGCAGTGGTGGCGGCGGCCCCACGCAAGCTTCCCAGAGCCGCGACGGCGACGTTCCTTGTCAGAGACGCCGTCACCATCTTTGGGTCGTTTACGCTCCCGAACTGGATATCGGCAGCGATCCCGGACTCTGTCACGTCTTCCCCACATGCCAAGGCGACAATCACGCAGCTGACGGTTCCCGTGCTGTCGCAAGTCGTGGCATCGCCGATTCATCTGATTGCGCTGGACTATTACGAGAGGCAAAGCAGGCTGCCGTTCTCGAATCGAGTTGCGCGGACACGGGAGCATATGCCGTCGACGATCGTGATGCGCTGTGTGAGAATTATACCGGCGTTTGGTATTGGGTGTTTAGCAAATTTAGGGTTGCGGACTTTCTTCCAGCAATGGTTTTCAGCATACACATAGCAATTGGTTAAGGAATAGACAAGATAAGAGCATTCGAAGCATTCTGCCGTGCAAATTACATTTCTTAGTGGTGAATCGCAATGTGTGAAGATGCAACTTTTGTATTGTAGGTAGTCCAACGTCTAAGCTAATGCCTGGTATCATTGGGGTGAGGATCGCTACCCATGAGACGAGCGACTGTCACAGCCTCTCTCAAAGCCTTTCCAAGGTGCCCCCTTACAGCCCCTTCCTCCAAGACCATCAGGCCTCCGATTGTGCACCCTTCCGGTGATGTTCCTTGATCTCTCAGGCTGCCTGGTTGCAGACCGTTCTGCATGAGTGTCGCGCTACCCAGCATGGACTGGAAGATCATAGTCTGCGCAAGATCCCTTGGAACACCGACGGCAACGGAAGCATCGATGAGAGCATCTGCGATGACTGCAAAGAAGGCTGGCGTAGATCCTCCCACGGCGGTCGTAGCGTTCATCAGCTTCGGCGCAATCTTCACCGTCTTACCAATCTTGTTGAAGATGGCTTCGGTGAGCTCCATGTACTTGGTCGGCACTGCTGGCTCTGAGATCTCGATCGCCGTGAGTGATTGAGAGACCATGGCCGCAATATTGGGGAGCGTCCGAACAACCCAAGCCCGGCCCTCTGTGTTCTCGGACGTCGTCTCGCTTCCGTAAATCGTAGCTTCCAGCTTTCCTCGAGTCCAGCCAGCGGCGACGCTGATCAAAAGCTTGCCTTTCAAAGCCTCTTTCGTACCCGGCTTGGACAGAACTTCTTCGACATCCGCAGGGTCCACTCCTAGCACTACAACATCCGACTTTTGCAAGGCCGCAGTGTTGTCGCCCCTTGAAACCACGAGCTTGTCTCCTGCACTAGAGAAGCGTGTCTTTAGGGCCTCTTCAGACTTTTCGCTTCGAACACATGCGATGAATTGAGTGATGGGGAGGGTGTTGTCTTCCAGCAGTGAATTCAGAATGGGAATTCCTAGGTTACCTATGTGCCGGTTGATTAGCATGAGTAGTTCGAACGATCAATCTCATACGATAGTAACTTACCACAACCCAAAATGCACAACTTGACATCCCTGAATGCTTCCATGTTGACTCTTGTGGTCTGATGTGAGACGTGTACTGTTTGCCGGCTGGAGGTTGAGAGGAATCTGGGCGAATTCTCACTTGGTTGAAGTCGTTGTTTGTCCAATACCTTTTTCGGCCGACTGCTCTGAGTTGAATTGATGAATGCCCCTCCTACTATCTTGATGTGAATCAAGTGCGATAAAGCTACCCTGGTCCTAGTAGCTACCCCTCACACCGGCGCTGAACGGGAGATCCCCCGCCACGAAGCTAATCAAGTGGGGTTGATATACGGGAGGCCATCCGACACAACATCAACCTCACGGAGTCACGGCACTCTCTCTCTCTCTCTTTACTCGGAACATATCACGAGAGACCCACACATGTCAGATAAGATTAACGATTAACGAAGAAAGATCGATTTGCTATCTTTAGCCAACAGTCCGAGACCGGAAGAATCTAGACCGCAGTCTCCTGCCCACCTCCGCCTTGAGCGCCGCATACTCGTCCACCGTCCTGGAAACGGCATCCCGGTTCTCCACAGCCCTCCGCAAGAGATACGCCACGCACTCGCCCATGCTGCCCCACGTCGAGCACTTCCACACTTGCGGCGAAGGGTCTTGGCTCCCCTCCTCCTTGAGGGCCAGCAGCGAGAAGCTGACCTCGTCCGACATGCCCTGCAACTGCGCGAAACCAACCGGCACCGTCGGGAGTCCTTCCTTTAGCCTCTGCTGGTGGAGCTTGTGCGCCGTGACCACGCTCTCCTTGTTGTGACTTGCCAGGAAGAGGTTGAGCGAGGGGAACGGCTTGCCGCCCGGGGCTCCATACTCTCCAATGTGCCGCCTCAGGGCGCCCTGCGCGATGCTGTTGTAGGCGTTATCGGTATCCTTCTTTGTGTCGTGAATCAGGGACCGCTCGTCTGAGCCCATGTAGGCGCCTCTGACTAGCTTCAGGCCGTGCGTGAAGCCTTCTTGGTTGGCCATCTCCAAGTGCTTGGCCAGGGTGGTCGGGGTGCTCTTGAGATATGCCTGGTAAGTGTTGTAAATCGTAGCGTAGCCGTCGCGGTTGAATTTGCGCATCAGTTCCATGCCTGCAAGGAAGATGCCCCATTGGAAGTGTTGAGACTCGGCGTCAAGGAGGAGTCTCACGCCACGGTCTTTGCATCTTTGGCTCACTTCTTCGAGGGCTTGCATCATTTGTTTAGGAGGCAGCTGTCTTGCGGCAAATGCCTCTGTGACACGAGGGCCGGCTCCTGTAAGTCTGCGAGTTGGCGATGTTAGCAAATTGTCAGGTATCAGAAGGCGTATAAGTGATTCTAGCTTACTTGAGAGCAAGTTGATCGCCATCACCAAGTAGATCGACAGTCTCCAAAACACCCTGCCTCCAGGACTCGATGGTAGAATCGAGACCACCCTTTGTCATATCCTCCGACTCGATGCCCAAGCCGTGCTCCACGTTCGTCTTTGCATCAAAAATCGTTTCTTTCGCGTAGGTGAGGATTGTACCGCGGAAACCCATAAATCTCAGGTGCCGCATGGTCTCTTTCGTCTCTTTTGGTGTCTCTCCCGCACAGAACTGCTTGTAAAAAACGCTCTTGAGTAGAGAGTGAAGAACAGGATTTCTGTCGACATCTGTGAAGAATCCTCTGTTTGGTCTTGTGAAGAATGATAGCGCTGCCAGTGAAGGGCCGAGGAGCATAGGCTTCGAGGAGATGGCGGAGACCAAAAGAGACCTCATAAGAACTGGTGTGGGCAGAGCTGCCAAAGTAGAAGGCGCAACAATACCAGTCGCCTTGTCTGCAACTAGGGGTGCTGTAGAGATTGACCTTGGCCTAGTCGTCTTTGAGAATGCGGTTGTGACATGGCGGCTAACAGGCTTTCCTGCCGTGAGGGAGGATTTGCAGTATGAAGGCTTCATCGTAAGAATTACTGGTGTGATGATGATTATTCTGACTTGAACTCAATGGTATCTACTAGAGCGGACGCATTGCCTTTATGATGTGGCATGTGGCACATCGTGGTCCATCCTGGTGAGCCGTACCAGCTCCCTTTCCTACACACCAACGCATAGCTGATCCATCAGACGCTCCCAACGACATCGGAAGTGTCAGAATGCGTATACTCCTTTGGAAACTCAATAGACACACAGCCACGTGGATTCTGATGCCAGCTTATCGATACCCCGCTTAACAACGCGGGGTAAGATAGCACAGGCATTCATATCTGGCTGTCACGAGTTGACAAAGATAGGTGTGCATGCAGTGTGCGCTTCCGGTGGCACATTTCGGGGGTCCGTGATGACGGGCTAGATTGAAGATTCGCTGAAACCAAAACCGGCCTTGGAATCCGATTGTTTTGGGTTATGTTTGTGGGGGTGGACGGATCTTTGAGCGACTGGTCGGTTTCGAATCCGGATGGGTTGAGTCGGAGAGGGGGCCGATGATAGTCTAAGTCGGGGCACTGGGTGGCAGGTACGAAAAATGCGCCGAGTGATACGAGCATCGCGGGGATTCGGCCTAGGTCCTATCACGGAGCACCCCTTGATTCCTTTGACTAAGTGAAATGGTCTAGTGATCAGTCAATGACTAGTTGCAGATGCATTGTCGAGATGCATTGTCGGAAAATCGAAACCAAGGGGTTCGTATAAGCCCGGCATTCGCTCCGTTGAGGGGTCTATACAAATACCGCCGGCTACCTTGACCATATGGGGCAGATAGTGGCGGGTTGTATAGTCGCTGTTGATCAAAGAGATCTCCTCAAGGCAGCTTTCCTCCACCTCTTGTTGCCTGTCCCACTCCCGAGTTGGTCTTGTCCTCAGCGTAGCGTTTGTACACCTCAATATAGGCATCACTGTCACTTAGCGTATCCTTTACGCTTTGCCTCTCTTTGATAGCATCGTACCATTGCCTCCACCTCTTCCATACCGCCTCATCATCGCCGCCCTCCCCCTCAGAGGGGATCCCAAGTCCTCCTGGCTTGTAATGATCAAATAGGAACAGACGCATGGCCCAAGGGGCTATCATCACATCCACGAGACTGAACATCTTTCCCAAGAACCAAGGACCTTCGGGGTCCATCTGTGCAGTGAAAGTCTTGATGTGACCCAAGAACTCATCACGTCCTTTCCCGATGCTGTACTCCTTCTCTGGAGTGTGTTGAATAAATTTGTAAAATGCCGGCACGACGCGAGAGTTGATGTGATCGATCCACAGCCGGCACCTCGCGCGATCATACGCCGCCTCCGGGAAAAGATGCGGCCCATAGTTGTTCCCGGCATATGCTTCCTCAAGGTACTCGGAAACCACAGTGCTGTCGTAGAGCGGTCGTTGCTCGTTGCCCTTCACATCCACGGGAACGGCCAAGGTCGGGACCAGCCCCCGAGGGTTCATCTTTAGAAAGTCGGGATCCTTCTTGTACGGGTTAATCTCGATGTACTGGTGGGGAATCTGTTTTTCGTGGAGGACGATCCATGATCGCTGGACAAAGGGGCAGAACCAGCCGCCGTAGAGCTTCAATGGGTGCTCTTCCGAGTGCTTTGCTGCGAAGTCGGCTGCGGCACCCGTGGTACGCGCGCCGATTGATGTGTCCACATTTGCCATGTTGCCAATCAGCACGAAGTTGTACTAGGGTTACAAGATGCCAAATGACTGTGGCTCAGCGTTCTCTAGGTTGTTTTGTTGATGAAGTATTTTGTATATCTTATGTGGCGATGGTGAAGTTCCAATGATGATGAAAGTGATGCGACCCCTCTGATGACGTGTTACTTTACAGCAGGCGGCCGGAAATATGGAGGTCTCGGCCGGCTTTTACTGATGGTATCCACTTCAAAGCCGTCCACTTCGGCAAATATCTCCGGATCACCGTCGCTGCTACAATGCCCACCCGAATAAATAGAACTCCTACTGGAACTTAGTATACGAGGGGAGCTTGAGACTTTGAAATCAAGTGTAATATTGGCAAAAATCACTTTATTGAGTGCACGTGGATTGCGTGATTACTCGCCAGACTAGGATAAGTGATGATTATAATGTCAAAACCCTATTTCTAAGTCGCCGGTACAAGAGTATCGTGGTCAATCTTTTGTGCCACAGGAGTGTACCTCCAACGACTAAAGTATGCGGGCGTAATCCCATCACCGCCATTGTTAGTAGCATACGCACCGACAATTGTGCCTACAGGATTGCCATGTCAATCATCAGAACTTCAATGGACTGATTTAGGGGGCTTACCAGTGAACGGGCCACTGCCTCCAGAAACGATCAACGCACTCGCCGATCCAATCTCCAGATACTCTTCTGGACGAGAAGCCGGAGCTGCGCCGAATACATACTTTGCGTCACTGACAGCAGATACTGAGAGCTTTATCGGCTCCGATCTCCAGGCTTTGGGCACTGTGACGAGAACTGTCTCGGGAACAGTGATGTTGGGTTTTCCTGATGCCTCGACCTTGAATCGGAACTTTGGAACAAGCGACTGGTTGGAGCAAGTTGGAGAGTTCACGATACTTAGGTCAATGTGCTGGAGTTGGGTCAAAAAGACTGAAATGCCAGCTTCCTCGTTTTCAACCTTTGGCTGGAATGAGACGTCGACGGTATATTTGAACAGCGTAGCACTCTGCTTGCGTGCGACGAATCCGAGACCATCTTGTTCCGGGTTGAATTTTGGTGTTGCCGAAAGGTTGACAGGTGAAGGAGATATCTGCAGCGTATTGGGATGGCCTTCCGGTGAGACTCTAAACAGATCTGTCTTTGGTGGTCGCCAAAAGATAAAATGTCTGGGGATCTCCGAGCCTGGCGCAAAGTCGGCAACATCAGGTTCGTTTATCCAATGACCATTGCCAGGGATATCTCTGTTCGTGGGAGGCAAAGGTCCATCCATTACACCAAGTACTTTGTCAAGTACTGGCCAATCCCCATCATCCCATTTGACGGCAAAGAGAACAGTCTCGCGGCCCATTGGGTAGATCTCCCACTCAGGACCTGACCTTGTTGCCAACGCGACACCCCACCAATTACCAAAGGCGTCTTGGAAGAGGTCAGCATGTCCCACCGTCTGAAAATACAAGTCGGTGTTCTTTGCTGTTAGAATAGGGTTGTGCGGAGCTCCTTCGTACGGTCCCGCCAACTCTTTTGCCCGAGCAATCGTCACAGAGTGATTCGTTTCCGTTCCGCCCTCTCCAATCAGCAGATAATAGTAGTCATCTTTGCGATACAAGTGCGGTCCCTCGGGGTTGCGATCCCCGGTGCCGTTCCAGACTTTGATAGGCTCCTTTGCCGCGCCCGTCGAAAGATCGATTTCGCTAATGTAGATACCGGCAGCCACCGACATGTACACCTTGTTGTTGTCCCAGAAGATGTCCGGGTCAATATCGTTTGCCGGATTCTCAACGCGAAGGGGGCCCGTCCACGAGGCATCATCGTATGGGTCGGTGGTTGTGAAGAGTAAGATCTTGGGTCCCCACCCTTCATACCAAGAGACGTACGATGTGATGAGGTAGAACGTTCCGTTGCGGAACCTGATTGTAGACGCCCAAATACCCTCATTCTGTCCCGAGTTCCGGTAGAGTTCCGGCACTTGTTCCGATCGCGTCAAAGCATTGCTGGCAAGTCTCCAATTGACCAAGTCCTTGCTGGCATAGACGGGAACACCCGGGAAAGCCAGAAACGAGGAGACAGTACAGAAGAACGTGTCATCCCATTCCTTGACAAAAGTGCAGCTAGGATCAGAGTTCCAACCCGGGAGGATCGGGTTGTTGAAGGTTCTGTTGACCTCCTGAGACTGGCTTTGGGCCGCCAGTGTGACGATTGACAGCCAGATGAGGCTGAAGAGTCGCATTGGGAGATCTGGGACGAACGTGATCAATCTAAAGATGCCGGATCTTGTCTCGCAGCACTTCGAGTTTAATTGAGTAGCCCTGGGCGTTAAGTCGCCTTTTGTATATCTTAGCGATTACTTGCTGTCGGCAATACACAGAGTTCTGCTTGTGGCATAACTGTGGGCGAACCCGAGAACGATTCCTCAATAATTTCACTTCATTTCTTCCACCAATTCAATGGTCTCATTTTGATGCCATCTTGAGTGAACAAGGTATCCTAGGGCGGGGTTGAGCGTTCATATGTGGTTTGTCTATCGTCTTTAACCCCGCACGAATTACCCGTTGTCTTCGGCTCTTTTCCCGATGATACCGTCGTATTCACCGGCTTGATCTATCCGACAAAGTCGCTTATAAACGTAAGTGCTTAGCGTATGCAAGCGGCTGACACTCTTCAGGGGATAATCGCGGAGTTAGTGATGGTTGCTAAGTCGAGTAAACAAGAAGCATTCTAGACCTACTCATGAAGCACTTCCATCCTGTCTTCAATTTGTTGCCCATGATGAGCAATTGTACGAGGTATTCGTTACTTTTTAAACATACCACCTAGGAAAGCCATACCTTACTTGCAGGACAATATTCTTTGCCAGCCAAATTTCGTGTTCGGAAGCTTGCGATGTTCACAAATGCGCAAGGATTGATGGGATTAAGTAAGTGAATGAGTGTTATAGAATGTCATATATCTAAAATAAACTAAGTATTGAAGGTTGCTAGACGGAAGATAGCTCAAATATTCCAAAATTCAACGCCGCCAGATGCAATTCCCTTTTGACGGTACCATGCAACCCGCTCAATGCACATGCAATTACCGCCATGACAGCCCGATAGCTCCCACCAGTAAGTGGCCTAATCAACGATAGACCATGTGTTTAGAGCTTGAAGCCTCCAAGGGGGTTGAGATTGGGGATGACAAAGCCACCCTGCTGAACAGGAGGAATGACAGCATCGCCCTTCTGCGCAGCCAAAGCCTTGTGCTTAGCGAGAGTGAAGTCGGGGCTGTCAAAGTTCTGGTTGATGACGCCGACCATGCCGTTCTTGCAGTGCTGGCCGGCGTTCTGGGCGCAGTAGTACCAGATGGGCTTCTTGTCCTCGACGACGATCTGGAAGACGTTGGCGGACTGGCCCTCGGGAGTGAAGAAGTTGAAGCCAGAGAAGAAGGAGGAGCCGTCGGCCAGGGGGTTGCACGGGTTGCCAAAGTTGGACTCGGCGACGGAGTGGTTGCGGGGCAGGTAGTGCCACTCGACGATGTCGCCCACCTCGGCGACGACGTTGTCCGGGTCGAAGCGGAGGCCGCCGAGGCCGGCGACTACGGAGTGGGTGACGCCCGTGAGCTCGTAGGTGCGGGTCGGGGTCTTGGTGCCGGCGGTGTTGGTGGGAGCGGCGGAGACGGTGGCGGCGGCGGCCAGGAGGACGGTGGAGAAGGTCTTGATGGAGAACATTTTGTCTGAATGTGTGTTTTTGGATGTGTGTATGAGGTAGATCCAAATGCGTAGAGAGAAAGGAGACTCTAGGAAATAAGGAAAAATAGGAAAGAAGATAGGAAAAGTTGGAAGACTGGTCTGGTTGTTTGTGTGAATGTGTGATGATGAGAGAACAAACACACTGTTCGACTGCAACATCTTCTTCTTATATACAATTTCAGCATCGTTCGATGCTTTTGCTTTGGTCTTTGGTCATCGTGACCTGCTGACGGTGTTGTTGTACAGCCCTACGGAAGCATCCTCTTCCACCTACACGACCCGCCTGCTCCGACTGGGGGAAGCTCATCTTCCAGCTTCCTTCGCGTGAACAACGCTAGCTCTCCGAAAGAAGTTTCCTCTTCTGTCATGTACCGCCTGGCACGCAGACCCGGGACGGCGGTGACCCGGAGAGGGGGCTGCCAACCGGCACTAGATCCTTTGTTGGCGCTAGAATCTCACTCAGACGAACGAGGGGCGCGACGTGAGTGGTCCGTTGCCGCGCAGCTGCGGACAAAGAACGTGCTGACGGCGGAATTGGCGTCTGAACCAGGCGTGTGCGGCACATATCGCAGAAGCTAAGGTCGTTATGGCCGGGGGGCTGAGCTCGCTCGTAGGCTGCCAGCAAACACCGCCCCGATGCTGAGATGAACGCTGCCCGCGTCTAATTTTAAACTCCATTACCAATTCCAAGCTAGGCAAGTGGTGACTGGTGAACGTGATATTAGTGTGGACGACTTTGCCATGCGGGCTAGCCCTGAATATATTTGAATCCCTCCTTATGTTCTAGTTCCCTCCGAACCTGGGAAGATGGAAAATCCTGCGATGTCGGAAATAGTTGTGTGATACTCACGATACCTTCATTCCGTTTCCAAACTGAGATCTAGATCCATCCCGGTTTAATTAGAATCACAGCCTATACGCCCATCTTATTACTTGGAATGAGCACAGTTGACCCTTAACATCTATTACTTAGACGATGGCGCCTGACCAAGTGGACGTCTCGTCAATACTTCGTAGCTTGAACTAGGCATCAGCGGAAGCAGAAAAGAAGGGCTCCTTGATGCCTATACGCATCTCAAAGTGTTAGAGAGCTTGACCCTGACGACGAGAAACGGTCCGCGACGGAAACCAGGACTCTGCATATCCCCAAATGACAAGTTAAGAGCATCGTAAGCTACCTTATACACCTATGGATAGGCCTCTTGAGCCGAGGGATTGTTTCAGCTTGTCGACATCTCGACAGGAATGCGTTCTTCAACATATATCAGTAGCGACCTGTCATATGGCCCACCTCCATAGTGCCCGTGTTCCGAGATACGTCCTCCAATAGGCTACTAGCCTCAGCTGTCCTTAGTCACTAAGACCTTGCGCCTCATGTGTGACTTGCCTAGAGCCGATCAACAGCATGAACAATTTCGCTGCCGAGAATAGCATGAGGCTACAGAGTTCACTGCGGATATTGACACTTGACTCAGGAAGTTTCTGGATCGTCCGCGCAAGCCCATACGTATAGCTCGTGTTTTCCTATACCTCTTTTTGAACATCTAAACCCCAAAAGAACCCAAGATCGTGTTGCTATGCTAGGTATAATGGAAAGAAGAACGACGAAAAGGAAACAAAATGAGAAAACAAGGCTATATGCAATGGCCGTTTTCGGTCGTAAGCCATGATCCCCCCTCGCATCCCATAAACAAAAGCTTGCACCCGTATATCATACAGCCCTCATCAGATGGTACTCTCGTCAAACAAAAAAGGATAAGACACGAGGAAACACAACCGAGGTCTAGGTTTTACCCGGCCTTGACGGCCTTCTCAGCTCCTGCTCTATCCTTGGGCTCTCCCCCATCATCCCCACTCGCCTCTGCCTCCTCAGCCTCCTTCTTCTCCTGTTCCAGTTTATACCAAGGCCCGTGTATCGCGCCCGTCCCAGCGCCAACCAAAAGCCCCAGCCCCGTCGTAGGAATAGCCGTGACACCGCCGACAACAGCCCCCACCAACGTACCCACCCCGGCGCCCAGTCCCGTGCCAAGTCCGGCTCCGATGCCCGCGCCACCGATGCCGCCCTGCCACACGCCGCTCTGCAGCCGCTTCGACTGCTTAGCCGACCCCTGTGCCTTTTTCTCGTGCTCCGCCGCCTCGGCGAGTATCTTCTTCTTCTCCTCCGGGTCCTCGGTCGCCTCGGCCCGCTCGCGGAGCGCCTGCGCGGCTTCGGTCTCTTTCTGTGCCTCTTCGAGCTTGGCGGTGGCTTGGGCGAGGACCTTTTCTTTTTGGGTCTGCTTTTGCTCTTCCGTCTGCTTCTCGTCGGGCGGTGTTGGTGGGGACGACATTATGTGAAGTGTGGCGTCGGTGGCCGTGCGAGGTCGCTCGAAGAGGGAGCTTTTGGACGCTTGAGGCTGGAGCTCGGGGAATGGAATGCTGAGGTGGGATGAAGTGTGGAGTTGCGCTGTGCTGTGCCGTACGGTCGGGACGAAACAGTGCAATGAACAAGGTGAAGGACGGGATTCCGTCGATTACTTGCCAGAATTCGGTAGCGAGTCGTGCAGGTCTGACAGTCCTGGGTAGGATTTGCTTGCGGACTATTGCAAGGTTTTGGGATTATTCGATATCGAAGAAGTCAAGGAAAGTTGGGCGGGCAGCAGCCATAGTGAGGGAGGTACTGACATCATTCGCTTATTGCTTTTTCTGTTTTTCATGTTCTCGCGACATCCCTGTTGCGTGGCGGGGTTGATCTGCTGCCACACGCACAGTGACGTCGGGATCGGGTAAGTTCATAGTACGGGGCGTGACGAGCTTAAACGCTCAGAGGTATTTCCTTAAAGCATCGGTATTGCAGCTTTCAAACTTTCCCTTCTTGCATGTACTTCGCTTTCAATTGCATAAACGCGTTTTGGGTGACCTGCTCACGTGAAGATAGTGGTTTCAGCATTCGGTCACATGCAATTTCTAGGAAGTGGGGACCCACGTGGACTGGCGGGAGGTTCGCGACGTTGAAGGAAGGGACGACATCGAGAGCAGCAAAGACCAAGCTCAGGTACCCACTCCTTCACTGGCCACGGTTCTTCAGGGTTCATCTTCATTCCCCTTAAACTCGATATCACACTTGCTCTACTAGCTAGTCCCGTCGTAGGATCAACTTCCGCAGCCCATTGTTGCACTACCTGATTTAGACCGTTTGATGTAAAGCATGTGCGAGATTCAAGTAACTTAGTATGATTTCTCCAGGTTGGATACATGTGAATAATTCTGAAAGACAATAATCACTGGAAATACCTATTCATCTGGCTACTCTCAAAGTAGATTGACCTCTGAAAGGGAAGTCGAGTCGAGAATCTTCATGGAACACCGCAGACGACAGATAGCCTACACTTAGAGCCCATTTCTCAAAGATAGAGATTGACGTATACTTCAGATTGAGTTCGAACTATCACTAAATTCGAAGTGCTGTTCTTGGGCCACTGCCAATCTGGTTATGCTAAAGGTTGGGTTAGAGCCTCGGGTCTGTTATGAGCTGAAACCCTCGCGCATTCACGCAGCAAATTTCGCAGTTCTTAAAATTGACATATTCTCATGTCCCCTCATAATGCGTATAGATTCTACTCATGGGCACGTCATAATGAGGTGGTATGACAGAGACGAAAACTCCGCAGAAGGTGAAGAGTTCTCCTTTTACTTGGAGCCCAACAGGAAATTTTAGATTCTCCTGCCATCACCGAGTCATTCAGCATTCATGCATGACGTTGAAAATCTAATCATGCTTGTGCATTTCGGTCGTATTTCAACCAAGAGAACGTGAGGAATCCATGTATAAACGTACCTAGTGGGCTGTGGACGTGTTTCTCACAATGACTCGTCTGACAGACTAGCATCTTACGATTACAGGATAACATGTTGCAGCAGTTGGCCACAGACACCGGATACTGGAAATTTCGAGTCAGCACATCTCTAGGTTTTTGAGGTCAGCAAATCTAGAAAAGAGACTTGAAGAGGAAATAAAGATTTGCAATTTGTGGCGGCCCTAGTACCCGGGTTCCACGTATTGGGGTCTCGGAGTAGACCCGCCCCCGGAAATACGTGTATCTGCTAGTGGTCATTCAAGTGACGAGAAACTTCGTCAAGTACTCTGTACAGAATCTAGTACAAATTCCAGGCTATGGAGACTACTTTCCACCTGGCCGAGAATAGAAATGAACTGCCGTCCGACACTTCCAAATCAGCCACCGATACCCAATTCAATATTTGTCTCAGATTTGGGGAGCATTGCGGCGGGACGGCTGAGTCGTCGTCACTATCCATATGCGTGGACTGGAACTTGCACGGAATGTTACATGTATTCTGCCCAATCGTTGAAGGGTGAAAAAATCCAAAAATGCAGAGCGCCTGGGAACGAAAACCAGTATCCTAGCTGCGATGCATACAGCAAATGACTACATATCGTGTGCTTTTGCGTCATCTTGTAATGGCAGTGCACCATGTGGTGACAGTAGCAATCACCGATATTGAGAAGAAAACTCAATGTCGAACAAGGCGACCACAGCCACGTCTTCACGAGCGACAAAATCACATCCCTTGTTCATGTCAAGCGATTGAGTTTGACAACGCAGTCACGCAAAGGCTTATCTCGACTTCCAAAGTTGAGCCAAGTCCGCCGCCCAGTCTGCCTCGTTCGCGATACCGACAGGACGTTCCCGCCTGCCGTTGTTCCCATCGCCGGCGCAGCCGCAGAAAGGTTCCGGCAGGGCGGAAAGACGGTAGGTTTCCACTGCAGACGCCAAGACGAACCGAAAGCGAGACCCCGGTCAAGTCCGAAAACAGCTGAGCGGTTGCCGGATTCCGGACTAAGCCTCAAAGGTAACCTGATTTCTACAGACTACCGTTTGTCTACACCACTAAATGCGATGGCGCAGAAGTCAAAAAAGTGAATGCGAAGAGCGGAATGATTGCATAGAGTACCCAAATGGAGAGACAAGGTTGACGGCCAGGTGGTTTTACGAAGTATGCATGGCTCCACGATCGCCGCCGTTCCGTGAAGCTGTTTGATGGGGCATTTCCTGTTGGCCAAGCCACACTCAGGATTTCCTCGTGTTTGGTGACAGTGTTGCAAGTTTTGCTGGGGAAGAATACACGTAAATGCAGCCTCTTCCAAAGACTAAAAGGGGGTTGCATGAGGTACATAAGCTTGCCGAACGGGATGTCCCTTATCGGCGTGGCTTTGTCCCTGCATCAGACGAACGACTGGAAAGTTGAATCGGGTAGGACTTCACATTCTGATATCCGTACAAATGGGAAAGAGATTGAATGTCAGAGGGGTGGTGGGGTGACGAGTCCCAGGTATGCCTCCCTCAGCCTCTGTGATTGCAAAAACATCACGGCCAAAATCTCTGTACGCGTATGGAATGGGACGTGATTCGCCAACCCGAAGAAACATGTAGTGAGATCCGCCCACAGGGCTAGCAGGGGAGTTGAACACACAAGCCAATCATAACCCAATTAATCCACGTATACATCCTTATGGGGAAGACTCAGACCCCACCTGTGGGTACCAGCGAAGCTTGGATCTCGCACGTTGGCAGTAAGATACATCTAGACTCTTTGCCTGTTGTTCACGACAAACGCGTATGGAGATGCCGTCAAAGAGACTTTATTCGAGAGTTCACGTATACGGTGGCCGCAGCAGCAAACACAAGTTCCAACCGCCCCCATCTCCCATCCTTGAGGACGGTATAAAGATGGACTACAACTTCGAGACACCCCCTTGGCCCTTGGCAACATATCTAGCAACAACGTCAACACCAACGAGGTCCTAGGACGAGATTTCCGTCGATAACAGCAAATCATCAGTCTTTTCTTGTCCATCGGGCGCCAATATATGAAGCAAGTCTACTCTCGCGATCAAATATCCCGAAAAAACACAACCCACAACAACAGGCAGGAAACGGGGAAAAGGTGGAGGACAACCCAACTACCGATAACCGATTCCTGGCAATCCTCAAGACTCTGACAAGATGCCTACCCTCGAGTCTTACAACGGCTACTACCTCTGGCACTATGTGCCCAGTCTGATCGCCGCCATCATCTTCGAAGTCCTCTTCGTCCTCGCGACGCTCTTCCACGCGTACAAGATTGCCAGGACAAAGACGTGGTTCTGCATCGTCTTCGTGATAGGCGGTATCCGTACGTTACCAACTCCGACCTTTGATTTGCTACCTGCTATCAAGACCTTGGACTGACATTTTGAATCTACTATCCAGTCGAGATCATCGGATATGCAGGCAGAGCCATTGCACGCGATCGCACCGGCCAAGTCGGACCCTACGTAATGCAATCCCTCACGATCCTCATCGCGCCCGCCCTCTTCGCGGCATCCGTCTACATGACCCTCGGCCGCATCATCCGCAGCGTCCACGGCGAGTCCCTGTCGGTGATCCGCATCAACTGGCTCACCCGCATCTTCGTCGCCGGCGACTGCTTCTCCTTCCTCGTCCAGGCCAGCGGTGGCGGCCTCATGGTCAAGGACGGCAGCCAAAAGATGGGCCAGAACCTTATTGTCGCTGGTCTCGTCATCCAGATTGTGCTCTTCGCCATCTTCTGGGTCACCGCCATCGTCTTCCACTCGCGCCTCGCAAAGAACCCTACCCAGGCATCCCTGGCGGGCCACTCGCCCTGGAAGTCGGGCCTGTGGATGCTCTACATTGTCAGCGCGTGCATCATGGTCCGGTCCGTCTTCCGTCTCATCGAGTACGTCCTCGGCGGCGACGGATACCCGCTCCGTCACGAGTGGACCCTGTACGTCTTCGACGCCACGCTCATGTTCTTCGTCATGGTGGCCTTCGGGTTCCGGTTCCCTTCGGCGTTCCAGATCCGCAAGGGCGGCTCGCAGTCGGCTTCGGATGCGGAGAACTATGACTTGGCGGTGGAGAGTGAGCAGCACCAGCCCGGCTCTATGCGCAAGACCATGCGATAGAGAAGAGTTCTAGAGTGCCTTTTTCTCTTTCATTTTTCGTCCGGCGGAGATTGGGTGTGGAGGCTCGCATTGGGGATGCTCAGCGAGCGCACCCACGGAGTATTGTTAGTGTAATTGTTGGGAATGGAAGACAGAGAGACATGGCGGAGTTTGAGGGCCAGTGATCCATGTCGCGATCACGGTTCCGAGAAGTTGAACGATTCAGGTCAGCGGAGATAACGCTGGAATATGCAGAATAATAGCGATGGGCGGATGGCTAAGGTATCAACCGCGGAAAGCCGGGTATCCTGCCTTGGCTTAGTATTTAGCACTTTAGACGCACTAGAATGATAAATGAGGAAAATGTTGTGCAAATCGTTAGCCCCAAATCCTTGGTGTCTGGTTTCTTGATTTTGACGACTCAACCAACTCCTGCATGTCCATGTTTGTCAACGGCACTGGATACATGTATTTCATCGTGTTGACGGATAGCTCCTCAAGGTCTGGGACATTCTACCGGGCCATTCCCGGCGTAATTGGCTTCCTTGACGATGTCATTGGATCGGAGATGTTTTGCAGGGTGTTTACTAATACAACCGCGCGGGCATTTTAAGGAAGGCACGCAGGTGGGTGGGCGCACCTGCCCACACAGAAGTAAAGATTTAGGGGGAAGGGGCCGCGTGGACTTGGTTGGCGCAGCGTCCAACGACCTTCGATTGCTCCCCTAAAGGTCCTGTTTAGGAATTTTTGGGTGCATTGAGCTGCAGAGTAGCCCCTGTAGCAGACCCTCCTAATGGCCCCTTCCCTCAGTTCCATAACTTGCTTCCCCGTATTAACGTCCACCGGTGGCCCTTGGACCCGCTGAAGTCATGTTGGAGCGCGGTAGATGCCGCACCCCTGTACGAAACTAGAGGGAAGGTAGGCATATTCAGTCGTGCCTTCCTTACTTTACTTTCGTGCTTCCCGTCTGTAAGGTAAGGTAGTCTGTACTTCGTCTCTAGAGCAGGCAGGCACGCTGTACTGTGTACCTTCCCAAGTGGTGCCAGGTACCGTTCCTACCTTAACTAGACTGACCTGAGCTTATCCATTCAAGCTACGGAGTATCTTCGTAGGTCATCTTTTCTTTCCCCCTCCCCCCACCAAAAAAAGGCTGAGCTTCCCTCGGGTTCGCATCCCTCAAAATCATTCCTCAAATTCAAACACTTCTCTTTTTTTTTTTCTCGTCCATTGTCATTCCTTGTCACGTTTTTCAACACAAAAGGAAGGCCCATCGTCGTCTGCCGGCCCCAAACACCACATCTTATCTGCTTTGCTATACGCCGAAAAGGCCCCATGGCAAACCACTCACCTTGAACCCCCCCCTCCCTCCACATCCCTTTCATCCCACCGGCCGAGACAAGTCAACCTCGAGGTACCTGGAGAATGATGGACATCTCACGCAGCAACTCTCCCGCCCCCGGCACCGGCTCGACAAACGGCGACGTCAGTACACCGGGAGGAGCATCAGCATCGGCTGCAGCAGCGGGCGACGTCAAACTCCGCCGAGCCCACCGGAAATCTCGCAATGGATGCAAAGAATGCAAGCGCCGCCACGTAAAATGCGACGAAACACGCCCGACCTGCGTCAACTGCGCAACAGCTGAGCGACACTGCTCCTACCTCGACTCCCTTCCGGCATCGGCTCGCTCTTCCGCCGTCTCCTCCGGCCCGGCCGCCAAGCGAGCAGCCGCAGCCGCCGCCCTCGTCGCCAGCCCAGCGGGTAGCTCCGGCAGCAATGGCAACAGCGCCTCCGCCGCCGCAACGGCGGCTGCCTTTGCAACCTCGCCATCCATTACCACGGTCGTAAACGACTTTGTCATGCGCACCGAAGATGACCGCGGCGTACCGAGCCCCCCTAACGGCCAATTCTTTACCCTCGAACACATGCGCCTCCTCCACCACCTGGAAACTCGTATGGGCACCTTCATGGCCGCAGACGGATTTATGAAACCCTTGGTTGATATGAACCTCGAGGCTGCCCTCCACGCCCCTTATCTCATGGACGTCCTCCTCGGTCTTTCTGCCCAGCACATGGCCGAGCTGAATCCCCAACGCGCAGATTTTTACCAGCACGAGGCAACCCAGCTCCAGACCCGCGCTCTCATGTTGTTCAACGACGCCAAGGAGGAAATCGACGATGACACTTGCATCCCAATGTTCCTCTTCGCATCCTGCCTCGGAACTCAAGTCCTCTGCGATACCCTCCGCAGCTATCGTAGCGACTTCAACGGTTTTCTGGACCAATTCGCCTGGTACCTCAATCTCCACCGCGGCGTCAGCACCGTCACCGGCCGTTCCTGGCACATCATCCGCGAATCCGGTTGCAAGCCCTTTGTCGACTTCCTGGAATCTAACAAGCCCGACCCGAACGAGCGCTCCGAGGTCGACATCCTTCACAGCATGCTCGACCAAGCCGATCTCGGCCCTGTCTCCCTCCAAGCCTGCCGTGATGCAACGGAGTCCTTACGGCAGTCGTACTCCATCTACCGCAGCATTGCCATGAAATCCAGCCATCAATCCGCCTCCGTCATGGCCTTCGGAGTCCGCGTGACAACAGGCTTCATCGACGTCGTTAAGCAGCGCCGCCCGGAAGCCCTCGTCATCCTCGCCTTCTACGCTGTCCTCCTTCACTGGTGTCGCAGTTACTGGATCTTTGGAGACGCTGGCCAGTGGATCATCCGCTCCGTCTCGGCGCATTTAGGAGATTACTGGTCAGAATGGCTAGCCTTCCCTCAAGCGGTGCTCGAGGTGCATGCAGGCTGAAAGGTCGAGGCAAGGAAGCAAGGCAGAAACATACCTGACATTATCCTCCACTTCCTTACCACTGATGCAATGAAATCAACCTTGTGCACAATGAGCTGCACAGGGAGCTTCTCTCCTGCATGTGGAGGAAGAAACAGATCAGTTTTAAGAACTGCAAGTCTGTAGTCATCCAACCCCGGCCGATGTAGCCGGTAGCGGGCAGGGCAGAATGAAAAAGCAGAGCCAGCCAGGAAAACCGGAATCTGGAAGAACTCCAACATGGCAAACAAGCAAGCGAACTCTAAAAAAGACGGAATGAACAGTGTGCGGATGCGGGTGCGCGCGCCCCATCTCAACTTCGGGCTTTGCGCCGATGCCGAGAGAGCTAAGTACACCGTACGTCAAAGTCCGAAACATTCCCAGCGCGCCGCCCGCCACCGACGTCCACCGACAGGAAACCATGTATCCGTCGCAGTCGCAGTCGCAGAGCAGAGTGCAGCTGCTGGGCTGCAGTCGTTGCCTTGGCCAAACGCGCCAATTTCGTCCACACGCCGGGCACGTCGGGTATCCGGGACTGGGTGGGATATTGAGGATGGGGCTCAGAGGTTCTTAAATGTCTTGGGGAATTGGGTGGGAGGGAAAGTGGCGTACATCAACCGGAGATCAGAAGAACACACGGCCTCTGCGATCTGACGTTGGTCCCCTCGTCTCACACTACGCCAGAACGCCCGGGAGTCGGTGCGGCGCTCAACCACTGCTACACGCCCATCGCGGACCTTTACCTCATCTCACCTCACAACTCGCTGTCTCTCTCTCTCTCCTGTACCTTATTCCTCCTGCATATGTTACACCCCCATCAAGGGACGGGCGCCAGGAACGCCAGAGAATCTACGCCATGACCGTCGGACTTGACATGGGGACTTTATCAAAAAGGTCTGCGCCTCCCGCGCCGATGACACCATGAAGCTCGTTCTCTTGGATGCCCGGAAAGAAGGAATGGGCAAAGGATTGGGGCAAAAGTTTCGCAAAGCTTAGCTTTTTCACTCTGTTATCCTTTCTGATGAATCCTCCTCCGTCTTCCCACTTTTTAAACAAACAACCCACACCAGCTTCTCCAAGCTGGCGCAGCCATTCCCGTCCTTTACATTTGTGCGGCCCAGCATGTCGCTCCCATTCCCAACATCCAGGTTCGGCCCTGGCTTCACGGTCCCGACCGCCGTGACCGTCACAGAAGGGGGGAGAACAGTCACATTCACGCCCACGCCCACGGGCGGCACCACCTCGGACTCGTCGCCTTTCCCGGACAACATCCTCCAGCAGTCCGGCCTCGCCCCGGGGCAAATTATCGGCATCACCGTTGGCGCCACCTCGGGCCTCGTCTTCTTCGTCGTCGCCCTCGTCTGGTTCTGGAACAGGAGGAGAGCCCGGAAGCTCGCCGCGCGCGATGAGGCGCTCGACACCGTCATGGAGGATCCGGAGAAGCCTGACGACGCGGCTATGATGATGGCGCAGAACACGGGGGAGACGGTCGAACTGCCGGCACCTCGCGTGGTACACGAGATGCCTGAGACGCGTGAAGGCCCGCCTGTGGAACTCCCTGCTCCCGTTGAGCGACACGAAATGCCTGCGTAACATCAAACTCCCCCAAGATAGAACGGGGAGACGAGACGCCTGCCGGAATGGTTAGGAGGACAAGGGCGCGAAATGGATGGCGCCTCGCCGAGTCTGATGAACGAAATTGGAAATGAGACCCACGATACCCTCGCTAAGCCGTACTTTCGCTTAAGCATTATTACCAAAGAGTCGGACTCTGAGAGAAAGACTCCCGCCGCAAAAGACACTGTTGCCATGAAGTATGATGAATAGTGGTGTAATACGTCAAAGAGAGTGAGGGACTGTGGAGCAAGGCAGCAGTGGGCGGTCTACCAATTCTTTACGGCCAAACCAATGTGGATGAGAAATTAAACGGGAATATGTTTCTACCGTAAATAGATCAGTATGAGAACCAGACATTCACGCAACTTCATTAACATCGCGTTGTTAGGTCACAATTGAGGCCCTGTTCAATACAGGACTCGCTAGCCTCATTGCAATCCTGAGATGGACTGCACGATTGAGCACTTGCTGTACGAAGTTTGTGTACACCGGCCTAGATAGCGACCCTTCGGCATCGCTTTCTCCCCTTGGGCAGGGTACTTGCCTCCTGTCCCTGAAACCACCTTACCAACTCCCTGTTGCCATGTAGAATACACTCAAGAGCTTGATGCTTTGCTCACGCCCATATGAATAAGAAATGAAATGGTCTCTGCCTCTGCATGAGATCAAAGCTTGTGAACATCGTCCTCGGTTGTTGGACCACTTTTGCCCAACTAGGACTGGTTCTCGCCGTAGGTCGATGGAGCTATGCTGAAGTCAATGTCGAGCTCCTTGAGGAAGACATCGTCCAGGCTGCTGCCGTCACGGGTGTAGATCCAGGCTCCAGCTGCAGTGCCCTCCTTGTCATTCTGGGAGTCGCCCACGACAACCCAGTCGTAGCGCTTGGGGCCGGACACGGGCGATGAGAGCCAGATTTGCTTGTTCGGGGGCTGCTTGTTGATCACGTAGGTACCAGAATCCGGGAAAGTAACCGTCAAAACTCCGGCCTGCATCCGTAAGAGTTAGTGATACGTTGCTTGGTTGCGGAACGCAAATCCTGAGCTTCGCAAAAAGCGACAGTGGGTACAAGGACTTTAAAAGTCAGATCCAGTCTGTCAACTTACAGCATACTCGACATCGACTCCCTCACGAGCATCTGCTATCTCCTCAAGACGAGTGACAATGTTGTCAAGGTAGGTCTCGGAGAGCTCGTGATACTCAGCATCTGTAAGCTCGACGACGCTCATCTTGACTTCCTCTTTAGGTGTATCCTTGACCTGAGGGTCATCGGTGTCGGGCATAATGCCACGAAGGGCGATTGATGAAGTTGTGAAGAGCTTGCGAGCCGAAAGGGCAGACATTGTAGGTTTTGAGGATGCGAGAAGCAGGGCAGAGCGACGCGGGACAGCCAAGCGGGCTTGCGAGGAGGCACGGAGAGTGCGGGCGGCGGCGCCGGTGAGCTTGGTGATGCTGTTGCGAGCCATGGTAGCTGGGCGTAGGTGTTGATGAGCGATTGGGAGAGATTTGAGTGTGATGTTGCTGAGGAATTGAGACGTCAAGTGGTCTGCGTAAGTGGAAGAAGAGGAGTTCGGGTGGTCGTTGTCGATCAGCGAATTGAAGAGGTGACTGATTTGCTTCGTAAAAGACGGCAGGTCAAAGGCAGCTCCGTTGCTTCCCCACGTTTGCTGCAGGTGTGACGGAAGCTGCAGGACCAGCTTCGATCCGCGGTCAAGGGAAGGAACCGAGCTTGGGCCAAGGAGAGGTCCTGGCAGATGTGATTACATCAGAAAGTCATGTGCAGTTGCGAGGCGTGCACCTCGAGCTTCTCTCTGCTGGCTGGTGGGAGACGGCTGGGCCTGGCAGCGGTCTGACCCCACCAAAGCCAGAACACCGCGAAGCGCATTGAGTGTCTGGCGGGACACTACCACCCAGTCGCATTGAATCTAGACATCACTGGCGAACCCACGCCCTGGTACCAACAACCGCAGTCAACTCGGGATGCTCAGTCAAGGGAGAACACAATGATCAACGCCTTTCTGGTCTTCAATGGCCAGGGTCAGCCCCGGCTGACCAAGTTCTACACACAGTTGGTATGCTTGGGCCTGCACTCCTGAGTGAAAGCTGGCATCGCTGACTGGCGTATCTACACAGGAAACGAGCATGCAGCAGCGCCTGATTTCCGAAATATTTACCCTCGTATCGAATCGACCGGCTGGGTCTTGCAACTTTCTCCCGCTTCCTCCCCTGCTCGCTGCCTCGGGCACCTCACATTCATCATCGGAAGAAGAGAACGACGTTCCCTCCCTCGTTACGTATCGTAACTACGCGACCCTCTACTTCATTGTCATTTCGACCTCGACAGAGTCACCACTTGCCCTGATCGATTTGATACAAGTCTACGTCGAGGCGCTCGATAAGCTGTTTGAGAACGTTTGCGAGCTTGATCTCATCTTCAACTTCGAAACGCTACACTCAACGCTCGGCGAGATGATTGTGGGAGGAGTGGTCATCGAGACGAATCTAGATCGCATTGTCTCTGGCGTGCGCGCACAAGGCACTGTAGCCAAAAGACCTGTGAACGAAGGGCGCAGCGCCGGACTGGGAGGCGGACTGAGTATGGGAGGTAACTTTGTCTGGCATGGACGGTGAGGTGGGCGGCCCCCTGTCTGAGAGGAACATGACTCTGTTTTCGAACAATATGTTATACATGGGCTTCTGTGCCGGGTATTCAAAACGCCATAAACTCCTCCCTATGCTGGTACAGTGTTGTCGGCCGAGAATCTGTCTATTTGGGGGTCTCGATGGGAGCGGGTGCTTCGGGCGCATCTCTGCGACGTTCGTATCGTTTGTCAGACTCGATTGTGCCAAACAGACCGCGCACACGCTTTCGGATCTGGACGGAATGGTTAGCATCAGGCGGGACTGGAAGCGACGAAGCCACATACCTCTTCCGATGGCCTGTATTCCTTGCCAAAGAACTCGAGCTCGGAGAAGAAAAATGTCCAGCCAAGGAAACCTAGAGCAAGTTAGCATGGAGCGCAAGCAGTCGCTACGAGGGCTTCGCGAACCAATGACAGTTGCCAACTGCGCAAGCTTAACAGCCTTGTTCCATCTCGGTCGCGCATAAACTAATGCTAGGCGTCTCTTGTACTTCTTCTCAAATCGCAGTTGTGACTGAGGGGACAGGTTCGTGAAGTTGGGAGGCCAGACTTTTTTCGTTCGGTACGGGTTGGTGAAGACTGTGAATTTGGAGCCAGCTGCTTCGGCCGCGCGGCGAACGATCGTAGGAAGCATCTTCGGTGTTTTCAAGCTTTGGTTGTGGATTAATTGGCTTGGATTGCCGAAGGTAGTTCCGGGGATGGCATGGACAAGACGGATCTCGAGGATATGCTTCCAGGTCTCTGCGCGACTGGAGAAGCTCACCAGGACTTTTAGCCACACCTCGCGCCACGAGTGAGTGCCGCCGGGCTGCACCAGCCACACCTACAACGCGGCCAACGACAAGAGACTGAGCGGTACGTACTTTCCAAGGGACTCAACCGCCACAGCACTCCAAACATCGGAGAGTGACCACTGACCCGACAGTACCCCGCCATAACCACCAAAGCCATCGCGGGGCACAGCCTCGAAAAAAACATCGGAGCTGCGACGAAATCTCCCCCACGTTTGGATCTGTGACTCAGTATCCTCGCCAGCGACTATCTCGAAGGAGCACCAGCTACAACGCGATATCGAGCGTGACTCTCATTTTTCGGCGCAAGAGTCACCGTCGAATCACATAATACGCATTGGTCCTGGAATTGGCCTTGCGTATTTGCCTTCCCCGACAATTCCTGATCGAATCGAACGAGAACCCGCAATCATGGCCAACGAAGCTGCCAAAGCCCTCGAGGCCCTCCAGGTTTCCAAGACCAAGGAGCTCAAGGGAACCGAGAAGCGCGACTTTTTGATCTCTCTTGAGAAGAAGTACCAGCGCAAGTGGTCCGAGGACAAGATCTTCGAGGTCGACGCTCCCTCCACCAAGGAGGTTCCCCTGCACTCCATTACCGCCGCCGAGCTGCGCGAGCAACAGCCCAAATGGTATGGCGCCATTAGATAAAACTTGAGCAATGGAGGCTGAAAAGTAAACAGGATGGGATGTATGGCCTTTCCCTACATGAACGGTCGTCTTCACGCCGGCCACTTGTTCTCCGTGAGCAAGGTCGAATTCGCCGCTGGTGTAAGAGAGCTCTCGCAATAATGCAATAAGGGTGGAGCTAATGGATTGTTCTAGGTCGCTCGTATGCAGGGGAAGCGTGCTCTGTTCCCCATGGGATGGCACGCGACCGGTATGCCCATCAAGGCCGTTGCCGACAAGCTCAAAAACGAGGTTGCCTGGTTCGGTCGCGATTTCGAGGGCTACAAGGAGGACGAGGTTGTCGTCGACGAGAAGCCTACTGATGCTAAGGAGGCCCGCGAGGACATTACCAAGTTCTCCACCAAGAAGAGCAAGGCCAATGCCAAGACCATCAAGGCCAAGTACCAGGTATGCATCGGTTATATCGATTCCATTTTGCACATCACTGACAGACGAACAGTTCCAAATCATGGAGGCCATGGGCATTCCGAGACAAGAGATTCACCTCTTTGCCGACGCATCGTACTGGCTGGACTTCTTCCCCCCTCTGGCTCAGGAGGATCTCACAAGCCTTGGCTTCAGAATCGGTCAGTTCCAAGTCGAACGGTCATCGCAATGATATTAGCTAATTGATATCAGACTGGCGTAGATCTTTCATTACTACCGAGGCTAACCCTTACTTTGATGCCTTCGTTCGCTGGCAGATGATCCGCCTCAAGGAGCTCAACAAGATCAAGTTCGGCAAGAGATACACCATCTACTCGATTAAGGATGGCCAGCCCTGCATGGACCACGACCGAGCTGAGGGTGAAGGAGTTGGGCCCCAGGAGTACACTGGCTTGAAGATGAAGGTCCTCGAGTGGGCACCCAAGGCTGAGGAGGCCCTCAAGTCTCAGCTACCTGCCGACGCGAATGTCTTCCTCATTCCCGCCACCCTTCGTCCCGAGACAATGTACGGCCAGAACGCTGTCTTCGTGTCTCCCAAGATCACCTACGGTGTCTTCAAGGCTACCGAGACGGACTACTATGTTATGACTGAGCGTGCCGCCCGCAACATGGCCTACCAGGGTCTCTTCCTCGCCGAGGGAGTTGTTGACGAGACTGCCAAGATTGACGGTTCCGCCCTTATCGGTACTCGCGTCAACGCCCCCTTCTCCGTCCACAAGGACGGCGTTCGCGTTCTTCCCATGGAGTCTATCCTGCCCACTGTACGTATTCTTATTTTCGCATTGAGCGGTACACCTCTAACAGTTCGCAGAAAGGTACTGGTGTCGTCACATCCGTCCCCTCGGACAGTCCTGCCGATTGGGTCATGACCATGGATCTCCGCAAGAAGGCCGCCTACTACGGCATCGAGCAGGAGTGGGCTGAGCTTGAGATCATCTCCATCATCAACACTCCTTCTGGTGACATGATTGCCAAGACCTTGGTCGAGCAATTGAAGATTGCCTCTCCCAAGGATACTGTCCAGCTTGACAAGGCCAAGGAGACGGCTTACTCTGAGGGTTTCTACAAGGGAACCATGAACATTGGCGAGTTCAAGGGCGAGTCTGTCGAGTCCGCCAAGCCTAAGGTCCGCCAATCACTCATTGACCAGGGACTCGCATTCGTCTACTCCGAGCCTGAGCGCAAGGTCGTCAGTCGTTCTGCAGACGACTGCATTGTTTCCCTGATGGACCAGTGGTACCTCGACTACGGTGAAGAGTCCTGGAAGAAGACTGCCCTTGACTGGGTCGAGAACACTGATGGCAAGGGTCTGAACACATTCAGCCCTGAGACCAAGAACGCTTTCCAGGGTGTCCTCAACTGGCTCAACCAGTGGGCTTGTGCCAGATCATACGGTCTTGGTTCCAAGCTGCCTTGGGACCCTCAGTTCCTCGTCGAGTCTCTCAGTGACAGCACCATCTACATGGCATACTACACCATTGCCCCCTACCTCCACAAGGACATCTTTGGCAGAGAGCAGGGTACTGGTGCCATTGCTCCCGAGCAGATGAAGGACGAGGTTTGGGACTACGTCTTCTGCCGCCGCGAGCTTGACGACAAGCTCCTTGACGAGTGCAAGATTCCCAAGGAGACTCTTGAGAGCATGCGCCGCTCATTTGAGTACTTCTACCCTCTCGACCTTCGCAGCTCTGGAAAGGATCTGATTGGCAACCACTTGACCTTCTTCCTCTACATCCATCTCGCCATCTTCAGCCCCGAGTACTGGCCCAAGGGTATCCGTACCAACGGTCACCTGATGCTCAACGGCGAGAAGATGAGCAAGTCGACCGGTAACTTCATGACCCTGCAGGATGTTGCTCGCAAGTTCGGTGCCGACGCTGCCCGTATCGGTTTGGCCGATGCCGGTGACACCAACGGAGACAGCAACTTTGAGGAGGATGTTGCTAACCAGGCCATTCTCCGTCTCCACACTCTCAGAGGTACGTTTGTCTCTTTATACTGCGATCGTCATACTAATAGCAGCAGAATGGTGCGACGATGTCGTCAAGAACAAGAGCGAGCTCCGCACGGGCGAGTACAACTTCTTCGACAAGGTGTTCAACAACGAGATGAACGTTATTGCCAAGGAGGCCATCCACCAGTACTCCGAGACAGCCTACAAGCTGGCCCTGAAGGCGGCTTTCTACGAGTAAGTTTAGATACTTACCATAATGCCTTGCATTCCTGACGCATATAAACAGCTTCAACAACGCTCTCTCCTTCTACCGCGAGAGCAGTGCCTTGTCCAAGATGCACGTCGACTTGGTTCTGCGCTACATTGAGCTTCAGGCTCTTCTCCTCGCTGTCATCGCGCCCCATTGGTCCGAGTCAGTCTGGGTTGAGATTCTCGGCAAGCCTACATCGATCCAGCAGGCGACATTCCCCGAGATTCCGGAGACGGACGCGGCTCTTACGGCGGCGAGAAAGTACATTTCGGTGACGGCTTCCAACGTCAACTCTGCCGAGTCCCTGCAGCTCAAGAAGAAGGCCAAGGGCAAGGAGACGTCATTCGACCCCAAGAAGCCCAAGAAGCTCACCATCTTCATGAGCGAAAAGTTCCCGCAGTGGCAGCAGGCCTATATTGACCTGTTAAAGGAAATGTGGAACCCCGAGACCAAGTCGGTGGACGACAAGGCGCTCAACGGCAAGATCTCCAAGATGGGTGAGATGAAGAAGGCTATGCCGTTCGTTCAGGGTCTCAAGAGACGTCTGCAGATGGGCGAGCCCGCGAGCGCTGTCCTCGAGCGCAAGCTGGCATTTGACGAGAAGGCCGTGCTCGTGGACATGATTGAGGGTCTCAAGCGCAGTGCCAACCTGGTCGAGGTGAAGATTATTGCAGTGGAGGAGGGCGGCAAGAAGGGCACCGATTTGGTGACCGGGGCTGTGGAGGAGAGCCTCGCGCCCAACGCCGAAGGCGCGGTACCGGGTGCCCCCAACTTTTTGTTTGCCAACGTTGAGTCGTCATGAGCAGCGAGGTGCATGGGATAGACAAGAGTCTGGCAGAGTAATGGTAGCATCTGGGTATGTCGTCACATCCTGATGTAAAGCCAAGCAAAAGGAAGTAAGACGAGATTTGATATCAATGATTACGATTTCTGTTCAATAGCAAACAGCTTGATTCATTGTCAAACGTGATTGATATGGAGGATGTGCTTTGAGCAAAGACCGGAACATGCAGGTTTAGTGCCGGACTTGGCATGGGGCTCGTCGGCGTAGGTCGTTCGGGGACTGCGGATAGCTGGGCTGCCTGCGAGGCAGGTAGAGTGTATGCTTCTTGTAGATGGGGCCAAAAGGATGGGACTCAAGACTCAAGACTCAATACTGCATGGAGAATGGAGGGGGGAAGAATTGACTCGGGCTCAGCTGTGGCCGTTGGGTTGCGGCCTGAAAGCAAGGCTTTTTGAGGCTTGATGGAAAATCAAGGAATTAGGACTCGGGGGTGAATTGTCAAGCAGCACAGGTTATGACAGAAGGCACGAATACCTACTCTACTTGACCTTGGCCATGCGTGGCCACCGACATGCAGATGAGGGTGCACAACGGTGTATGAGAGTTTCCTTGATTCGTGGAAAGAAACAATGGCGTGGCTTGAGAAGCCGAAAAGGCGCGAAGGGCCGTTGAAGTCGCACAGAAAACGTCAGGAATCGTGCGGGTGGTGGCTGGTGGGTCGAGCGTGATGTGGCTTGATTGGATGATTGGTTGCAACGGTTGTGGAGGACACTGGAGGGCAAGTGGCTGGGGTGATGCGGTGACGGATGTCAAAAAAACGGGCAGTCGCGTTCTGGAGAGTGGAGGGAAAGAGGGAAGGAAGGTGACTGGATGAGGAAGCAGGCGAGGATGCGGCAGAATGGGAAAACCTAGCAGGGACCCCTGCCGCGTTGCTCTTTCTCACTTTTCCACCCTGGTCCCTGCCTCCTTCTTTTTCCCATGACGGGATCTTTCACCGTTGGTCACCGTCTGCCATCTGGTGTTTCCCATGCCCAGTTGCAGTTGGGTGAGTCTAGTCCTTCAACTCCAAGGAAATGGCCATGTTCGTCCCATCCATCGAATTGGCTTCGGCCTCGGATTCGACCACCCCTACTACCACGACTCTCGTTTGCCATGTTTTGCGAAAGAACCAGAGTCTTGGCCCCTGGGAGCTAGAAGGGGAGGGTCTGACTGGATGACTTATTCGGCCCTGACGGGTCACGGTTGGCATGATGTGATTCATGGCCAGAGATCTCTATTCTCGAGAGGGGTCGTCGGGGGCCTGCCAATGCCATGCAATGGCCCGGCCAATCCAGGCACAAGGGGAGAGCCGTTGCAGCCGCCTTTGCCCTTTTCCCGCAGCATTTCACTGGGCCAGCCTCGATTCTCGCCGACTATCCCCAGCTACCACTCTGGCTGGTAAGGTAGCCTGGGCCCCCGTTCTGCGGGATGCGCCTCCGGTTGCTACAGTACCTGTTTACGGACTCTTTCTCGTCTTTGCCAGCTGCAGCACCCGCTGGCCCTCGTCGACGTATGACGCAACACAGCAGAGCACGGCATCGGGCGCAGAGTATCGCCAACTTAGTCTTCCCCCATCTTTCTGGACAATCTAGGCCCCGGCCTTCGGTACGACCACCTTTCTCTGCTGGCAGGAAAATCCGGGACAGCTGCAGCACACTGGATATGCTAGCAGAATGGCACAATGGATGCTTACCTGATTTCTCATGTTTGCGCGCCTTCCGTCACCCAACCACTACCCTGGGCCGAAATGACGAGATGCTTCTTGTACGAGTGTGCAGGTTTGCGGAAACTCGGCAGACTAGCAACCGTTGGCAAGCGTCACTCCTCTTTTTTGTTCTATGTCGAAGGGGGATAGACAGACGGTCAGATGGTGGATCTGGGTCGGTTGAGTTACCCCAGGATCAGGGCAGAAGTCTGCTTTGTAGGCGACTTTGAATATCACCATCGACTGAGCCTGAATTCCGGTGACTACCTACTGACACTGGGAAGAATAAGCTGATGGGCATTGCATCTACCAATGGGACGGCATGGCAGCAACATGAAACGAAAATCGAGGTGGTGGGGGAAACATACACGTCTGGTGCTGCGGCTCATCATTTTGTGTGGCCATTGTCGCGTTTCGCCGTCGTTGCTCTTTGCTGCAAGTGAAGCCATCCCCAGCCATTTCACTATGCACAATTCAACCCATCAGAGTTTACCACGGTCATCCCAGCCTTCTTTCTCTTTGTGCTTCCCGATGAGCAACCCACACAGAGTCCACTTGTGGTTTCCTGGGTCCCGTCGATGGACGACAACCCTGTCCTGTCTCGCCTTGTTCGGTTGCTTCCACCCTCATCCCACCCATGTCTGCGACCAGTCCGAATCTAGCACCAACAGGCCTGCAGGCAAGCGAACATGAATGATGTGGTTTGGTCTGAGGATCTGGTCGGGGATTCTGTTCAAGGCCTGGCTGATCAAGGTCGGCGGCACAACTGTTCAAGGCCCAAAAGAAGTCCCAGGTCGGGTTTCCCTGCTTCACCCAGGCGCCCCGCATACAGCCTGCCCACCTCACCACCAATACGACCCCCGGTAACCAAGCTACCAACCCTCTGCTTTCTTGAAAACCCAGTGACGGTGCCGTCACGGCACCCCTCGTCGAGATGATGTCGTGCAAAATCGCCATTCTTGGCATCACTGCTGTCACCGACTCGTAGCTGTAGCACACAATGTCCTGTGTACGTCGTACCTAGTCGTACGGTCTGGGCTTTGCCCGTCACGCAGACCCTCACTCCCGTCTTGTAGTATATATCTCCCATCCAGTCTCTTTCAAATCAAGAGTCTTCTTTTGCTCTTCATTCGCAACAACAAGTTCAGAACATCTCAATCCTACTTCCCGCCTCATCTCATCAACAAGAGCCTCAGCTTTCGAGCTAAACCAGTCGCTTCTTTTCCCGATCTCTCATCAACGGCTCTTACGCTTCTTCTCTCCAAAAAACACCAACAAGCCAAAATGCGTTCTTTCGCCATCCTCTCCGCTGCCGGCCTCGCCGCCGCCCAGTTCACCTCCATCGTCATCACCGACGGCATCACGGCCACCGTGACCCTTCCGGTCTTCCCTGAGCCCACCGCCACGGCCATCGTGACCGAGACCGTCCCCTTGACCACCGTCACGGCTTCCCCCGAGCCTTCGGCCTCCACCACCGTGACCGTTCCGGAGGGCACCACCACCGTCTCCGAGGGCCTCACCACCGTCCCGGGAGGAGGCTTGACCACCACCACCCAGGTCGTCGTCAGCGACCCTCCTGTGACCGTGACGACTGCCATCATCGTCCCCACTGGAACCGACCCCGTCGAGACTCTGCCTACCATCACGGACTCTGCCATTCCTTCCATTACCGCCGTCATCCCTCCCATCATCAACAGTGAGTTATCACCTCTTGCCCTGATTCCGCAAGACCAATCAGACTAACGCGACCTTTTAGCTACTCTCTCAACCCTCACCCAGACGTACTTCACCTCATCTCCCAACGCCACCACCACCGGCCCCGTCACCGTGCCCACCGCTGCCGCCGACAAGGTCCAGAGCTCTGCTGCTGGCCTCATTGCCTTTGGTATTGCCAGCTTCTTCCTTCTGTAAAGGGAGTTTTCTGAGATTCGGGACTCGGAAAGCATGATGGAATAATGGGTTTACGCTTGAATGATGATAAGGGCGGTGCACAGACACACACACACACACACTTACTTGACACGGGATTCATGAGGAAGCAAAACAGCACTTGCTTTGGACATGTATTATGACTCCTTTTAACGGCTTGGAGCAACGGCGTTGGATATTCTGCATACGATGATGAAGCATGGTCATCATAAGATAGCATTAATACTGCTAATTAATTTTCCAAATAAATACTTTCACATATATTATGCTCAATTACATCACCTTTGAAATCCGAGCTTGCCACTACAGTGGCTTCGTGAGGAACATCTCTGAAGTTTATATGCCTCTTATATATAGGTATTATGCAAACAAAAAGGAAAGAACTACCAAAAGAGTTCACCCCCCCGGTGGCGAACGGGGGCTACATCTCTGGGTGCACATGCTGGGATTTTTTGTCGACTTGAACTCGGGACCTCTTGAGCCTTCACCGATTAGGCTGTTCGTGGACTTCAACCACTCCACCACCCAGCCAGTTTTGACCTGACCCCCAAGGGGGCGCCTGCTGGCTGGTGACGGGAATGGACTTGGAAGGGTATATGAATGGTTCTTCCGTGTATTCACTCGTGTGTATTCAGGCGGCGGAAACGTAAAATAAGTTTGGAACCTTGGAAGATTTGCCAGCATGGTATTCCGTGATACCCCCCCCCCCCCCCATATTCTTGGCCTTGCGCTTCCCCTCTGCAGCGCCGTCTACCTTAAAAATCCCACCACTTCCATAGCGACCGACAGACACTAGCGACCGCCGTGTCCGTCGGTCTGCCTATCCAACACTTCCAAGTGCGATGACCATTAACGCATGTTCAGCAAACAGCGGCACGGCACGAGGGCCAATATCCCTCTGTTGTCCAAAGAACGAGCTCGGGTGGCATCTTTCATTTAGAAAATGTTTGCCTCCACCGTTACCTCTGCGGCACAATGTAATCTCCTCCATTCCCGTGAGATGGAAATAGCAGCAAGAAGAAGACCGGAATCCTTTGTGCGCCGTCACACGTAATCAAGTCTTGTGGTACGCGGGCGGCTAGAGTATTTGTCCAACCGTGGAGGCTTCCTCCTGGATAGGTCCTAAGCCCGCAAGTGGCAATCGGCTTGTTTTGTTGATGCGCAATGACCGAGGATCAGCTCCCGGGCGCTTGTATATACCGCTCACGTGTTGTTCTTATTCCGCGCTCGTACTTTTTTGCGCTGGACCTCGTGGTTGGGCGATGAGCTTGGCTGGTTGGCGGCGCGAGTATCTGTAGTGCTGCTCGCGCAGTCGAAGTAACCGCTTCGTGGCGCGGCATTTTATCTTGGAATCTGAAGATAGGTCTTCTTCAAGCGGCAACGGGAATCTGAGCGGATGCGTCCTCGACGGCGGGTTCAGCTTCATCTTCGGGGTCCTCGGGGAGGTCGTCCTGCAGTTTGCGATTGCATGTTAGCCATACACTTCCCTCCACGCAAAGTTTCCGTATATGTCCCTAAGCTTGCGGACGGGTAGTGCTCACCTTATCAAAGATGACGCGAATCATGAGACTGCAGCTAGGACAAACGGCAATGTCCTCGTCGTCACGCAAGTCGGCCAGGGCGATTTGGAACTTGTCGCCGCAGGGGCAGGGGTAGTGGTAGATCTGCATGTCCTCGTCAAAGGTCATGTCTTCAATCTCGATCTCGTCGTAGATGGAAATGTTATCGTCGGACATTCTGGCGGTGTCCGTGGTGTCGCGATATCGGTGTATGGTAGGATTGCGATCTAGTCTTGCTGGGATGATGGCGATGGAGTCATTCAAGTTGAGGGGTGGCAAGCCGACCTCGAGGGAAAAAAAGAATTAGACAAAAAAAAAAAAAAAAAAGCTGCGGGAGGAGTTGCCCCGCGATGTGGCTGATGGGTCCTCGAGAGTTGAGCCACATCTGATTAGATAATATAGCCTCAGGCACATAAGCCAAAGAACCCCAGAATACGAATCACATGCCATCGGCAGCCAATTCACATGGGAACGAGCCAAAAGGGCCATTTTCCGGGGTTGGCCAATCACGTCGTTCGCCGCTACGGGGCCGCTCTTCTCCAGCACCCATGTACCGTGTCACTCCGGGGAGCCGAGGGACAGAGAGGTCCAACAGCGCCAGCTTTTCCCCGTTTTCCCCAGCGGAATCCAATGGTCAAATTGGCCCAGTGCTGAATCAGAACAAAGACCCGAGCCACCGAAGCGGTCCAGTGTTGTTTTAACGTTTTGGCTGCTGAAATCTGGAAACGGAAGGGGACTGGATTTGGTACCTACCTTACCACGCTTACCTGCCGCTACCCCCCAAGGGCCCCAGCCGAAAGCCTCGTCCGAAGGACCAGCCGTGTGACACTCACCCCCAAGCACCCACTGCCAGCCATGGCCGTTGTCAACATCATTATCTTCCCCTTTCTGATCGGCTGCGAACGCCTTTGATATTCTCCCTCGCGAGACCCCCATGATCTCTTGACGACCGACGGACCTCGATCGAAATACCGCGACGAATGCGCTGACGATACAGTCCCATCGTCAACCGACGGACGTTCCCCCACAGCCGCCGGTGTGACGTAGCCGCGGCATCTCGTCCATCTTCACAAGCAACACAACCACGACCCTCATTTCCCCCCCCGAAAGACATCGCGAGACGAAAAAGAATACGGGATCGCCGTCTCCATAATCAAGCGGCGCGCGCGCGCAGAGACACCAACCCCCGAAACCACCGCCCACAATGGCCGCCCAATCCAAAGTCTCCCTCATCGGGCTCCCCTCAAATCGCACAGTCCGCAACCTCGCCCTCCAACTCACCCAGCTCTACCTCCAAAACCGCACGCGCATCTCCCGCGCCGTCTGGATCACCCTCTTCGTCGCCCTCGCGAATCGCATCCGCCGCGCCATCTCGGATCAGAAGGCCGCTTCCGCGCGCGAGGCCGCCGCCCGCGAGTCTCGCGCCACCGTCGCCGCCCCCTCTGACGAGGACATGACCAAGAAGCGCAAAAAGGTCGAGCTCAACCGCGAGTTCTTCCGGTCCCTGTTGCGCCTGCTCAAGATTGTTATACCGGGATGGCGGAGCAAGGAGGCTAGGCTGCTCATTAGCCATTCCTTCTTCCTTGTTGTCAGGACGTTGATTAGTCTCAAAGTCGCGGCCATGGATGGCGCTATTGTCAAGAGCCTGGTGAAGGGCAACGGGCGGGAGTTTTTGATGCGCATCGTGTGGTGGATGCTGATTGCTATCCCTGCGACGTTTACAAACTCAATGGTAAGCCCAGCTCTATGCCCCGAATACACCCGTGTTGAAGTCATGCTAATATGATGTGGCAGTTGTCCTACCACCAAGCGGAGCTGTCGCTCAAGTACCGGACGCGGTTGACGCAGCATATTCACGACAAGTACCTCTCGAAGCTCACCTTTTACGGCATCTCTGCCCTCGACGACCGGATAAACAACCCTGACCAGCTGATTGCCGTCGATGTTGCCAAATTCTCAAACAGCTTGGCTGAGCTCTTTAGCAACCTCGCAAAACCCGTCCTGGACATGGTACAAGCTTCCCCCTCAAAATGCCTCTATCAACCCCGAAGACTAATGACTGGTAGACAATTTATACGCACTCGCTCTCGCGTAGCGTAGGCGGCGAAGGCGTCGTCTCAATGGCCCTCCTCGTCCAACTCTCCGCAAACGTAATGCGCGCCCTCACTCCGCCCTTTGGCAAATACGTCGCCGACGAGGCCCGCCTCGAGGGCGAATTCCGCTTCCAGCACTCGCGCCTCATCGACCACGCCGAAGAGGTCGCCCTCTACTCCGGCCACGAGGCCGAAAAGGACACCCTCGACAAGGGCTACTTCACCCTCATCAAGCACGTAAACTACATTCTCCGACGCCGCTTCTACCACGGCTTCATGGAAGACTTTGTCATCAAGTACTTTTGGGGCGCCCTCGGCCTGCTGCTCTGCTCCGTGCCTGTCTTCGTCAAGATGCCAGGTCACATTGCCATGAACATGGGCGACCGCACCGAGAGCTTCGTTACCAACCGCCGCATGCTGCTCTCTGCCTCTGACGCTTTTGGTCGCATCATGTTCTCGTACCGCGAGATTATGGAGCTGGCAGGTTATACCTCCCGTGTCGACTCCCTTCTCGAGGTCATGAATGACATCCGCGCCGGCCGCTTCGAGAAGAAGCTCGTCTCCAGCTCGGGCACCGAGAACAACGAGGCCGTCCTCAAGGGCCGCGGAACCGTCGTCGAGAGCAAGGACATTCAGTTCATTAACGTGTAAGTCACAATTCCACACCCACACACCCTCAAACGCAGACTAACACTTCACAAACAGCCCCATCATCTCCCCCAACGGCGACGTCCTCATCAAAGCACTCTCCTTCTCCCTAAAACAAGGCGACCATCTCCTCGTAGTCGGCCCCAACGGCTGCGGCAAATCCTCCCTCTTCCGCATCCTCGGCGGCCTCTGGCCAGTCTACGGCGGCACCGTCCACAAGCCCCCCTTCTCCGACATCTTCTACATCCCGCAACGCCCTTACCTCTCCCGCGGCTCTCTCCGCCAACAAATCACCTACCCAGACTCCCTCCGCCAGATGCGCGCCAAATCCGTCACCGATGCAGACCTCCTCTCCATCCTCTCCCTCCTCGGCCTCGAGCACCTCCCCGAACTCTACCCAGAGGGCTGGGACGCCGAGGCCGAGTGGCGCGACGTTCTCTCGGGCGGCCTGCAGCAGCGCGTCGCCATGGCGCGGTTATTCTACCACCGGCCCCGCTACGCCATCCTCGACGAGTGCACCTCCAGCGTCACCCTCGAGACGGAAAAGGTCATGTACGATAACGCAAAGGCGCTGGGTATCACCCTCATGACCGTCAGCCATCGCCGCAGTCTATGGAAGTATCACAGCCGCATCCTCCAGTTTGACGGACAGGGCAACTTTGTCTTCACCAAGCTCGACGCCGATCGCCGGCTGAAGCTCGAGGACGAGAAGGAGGACCTGGAGGTCTTGCTGCGGCAGGTGCCTGAGATTGAGAGGCGTATTGCCGAGTTGACAGCCGCGTAGATGGCGGTGTTGGTTACTGTCCTCCTATCTACAACGGTTCTCATAGGTGAGGTTGTAGCGGTGCATTCTTCTTCAGTTGGTTGATGATGGAAAGGGAGGCGAATCTCGAATGAAGAAAGCATGATTTGATGGATGTTGGAAGATGGTCTTATTTTTTTTTTGCAAATTTTGTACACAAAGGTTTGTAGAAACAACACCTACAGAGGATACGGCGTAGAACAGGATAGGCAAATCGAAAGCAATAATACCACAACTCACAACTTATCCGTGCTTTCAAGTCAGCCCAGCTCATGATAAGGCTTGACGTGCGCGAACGCTAGCCAGGCCTGAGAAATCAATATGCTTTAGACTCCTTGGTCGCCACCTGAAGCTGATCAATCTTCCTAAATGCGTCTTGAAAGTGCAAAACTCCACATTTGTCCAAGTCAATGCTGTTGGTAGACGGACAAAAGCAGCTGCCATCTACCCCTCTACCTGCTTTGAAGACACGCCCCCTACCCAACGTCCATTGCGGGCATCAAAACTGGACAATTCCGAGTCTCCATCTGTTAATCGACGAGATGTGTCGGATGGAAGCGGCAATTCTCGCTATGTATGCTATTGTCAAGCAGTAAAATACGCTTATGATCCGCACCGCACTCGTAGCAGAACTCGTGCTTGCACTTGTAACCTAGAAATCAGTCTCTGGGTCAGATAGTTCTTGAGTTTTCCTCCCAACTATTGCTTTGCTGCAAGCATCGTGGCTCACTCTCTGGCCGACACTAGAGGCCCAAGACCTCGGCATCGAACGCTGTGCGACCGTTCCCAAGTAGAGTAACAGCCCCAACAGAATTCGTAGCGGCATTTGATGCCTACGATGATGTTGGCTTCAGTTTGACAAGTACAACGCGGCTACACCCAAGTTGAAAGGGGTGGGTAGGAGGTCAAATATGAGAAATACAAGAACGAGGGCACTTACAAGTCATGTGCGAACTACCAAGTACTTGTTAGCTTCATCTGTCGCTCTGAGATTACAAAAGGGCACTTACCACCCAGAGTTCTTTTCAATGGCCCATCCGCAACCAGGGCAAGGCTTTGTTGTCCGGCTTACGGTCACCCGACTTTGCTCTTCTTCCGCCTTTCGGCGAGCGGCAACCTTCCTCGCCAAGGCTACCGCCTTTCGGGCTCTTTCCCTTTCAGCGCGCTCTCTAGCCTCATTCTGTTGAATCTCCGCTTGTTGTTTGGCCATTAGGCCCTGCGCCATTGCCCGATCGGCATCCTCTTGCGCCTGTCGCGCCGAGTCGAACTCGTCATACTCCATCTCGATGCGCGAGCGGAAGTTTTCTGGGTCATGAAGCAGCGCGTCATACTCTTGACATGACAGGTTCTCGTGCCATGTCACGTTATGGCTAAAACAAGATCGCTGACCGCAATGCAAACATGTCACAATGGGCTGATCTGCGCCGGTATCGTGAAGTTGGCCCGAGCCACAATTTGCCGTACACCAAATGAAGTTATCAGCTTCAGCCATGGCAGCGCGAAGAGCCAAAGCCTCATATCTTGGAAAACGTCAGTGTTTTTGTAGGCAAGAGAGGTCAAGGAGGTTTACCGGGCAAAAGTCTCTTCGTCTGCGTACTTCTGAATGTCGACGTATTCTAGCAACTCGCGGCATTCTGGGCACTGAATCTCCGTCCATAACTTGCTGTTCAAGTCTGATTTGATGGACATTTTAAGGCACTCCAGACACGCTTCTGGCGGGTGGGTACATGTTGGAGTCACACTGAGGACAGGAAATGACGAAATATCTCTTGTCTCCGCACAAATCGGGCATTCTCGAGAACCGCCCAGGTCATTAGCTGGTAGCCTTTGCCTTGTAACAACAATATCTGTTGTGTCTGCTGCCTTGTGATATCTCTGGCCGAAACTGGGACTCGTCAGCAATATTGAAATGAAACATTAATGTTGACAATGAGAAGTGTTAAGTCTGAGTTGCCCAGTCCCGAATTCATTGATGAAGGCTGATAAAGAGTATCAATCGAGCTTGAGGGTGCATTTACCTGAAATCATCAGCTCCAAGATCCGTGGATCGAGACCCCGATGCTGAATCTTGCCTGCGCAGAAATGCAACCGTCATTGCTTGCTCCTTCTGCTCAAGAAGCTCAACATAAGGGTTGTTCGAAGCCAGCGATGCGACCTTCGACGTTGATCTTGACCGTGTGGGCGGCGATAGTACTGGTGGAGTACTAGCCGCGGTGCTGGAGCTGCCGCCTGTGATCTGTGGTGAAAACGGAGAGATATCGAAATCCTCAAGAATAGACGCTGGTGTTGGTCGGTAGCCTCTTTGTGGTGGTGGAGTAGAGGAAGATGGAATCGCAGCCTCTGTTACCGTGGCTATGGACTTGGCTACCGGGAGTGGAAAGTCGAAGTCTGCCAAAATATCAGCGCTTATAGCGCGGTAGTAGTCGACGCGACGTGGAACCTCTGGCAAGGAAGGCGGTGGTTCGGGCTGATCGTGACTGACGCGCCGTACTGATGTGCCTTGCTCATTGTTCACGTTATTTGATCCGTCAACGTCCATAGCCAGCCCCCAATCGTACGCTGGGGCGGGATCGAGTCCATCGCTGCCAAAGCCTCCAACCAGAGACGGATTTGCGCTGGAATGATAGCTTGGTGGCAGTCCGCTGTTTGGAGGAGCGAACATCTTCGTTAAGGGGAAGTCTTCGTCATGTGGCACGAATCGTGGGGATGAATCGTTCGATGTATCTGTTTGCTGCCGGTGAGAGCTTTCTTCCAGGTCTCGTATTGCGGGAATAGCTACTTGTGTCGCCGTCGACAACTTTGGAGCGTCTGTGGAGCGCTCTGGAGTTCCGTCAACGAGAAAGTCCGCAGTAAAAAGATGAGACGTCGAAGGGGTTGTAGTAAGACGAGACACGATCTCCGTGTGCGACTCTAGAGAAGGAGACTCGAGTCTGAGAGACGAGGTGGTATGACTCTCTTGCGTGATATCGTTCAGCCGTCCCCCACGCGGTGAAGGGTGCCATTGGGAGGGGGGCAAGGACGTGTTCGGTTCGGACTCTGACGAGCTGTTTGTTGTTTGCGGATCGTGTTGAAATGCTCCAGTGAATCTTCCCTTGGAAGATCGAAACATGGTGAAAGGGCGGCAAGCTGACTGGGATGTCCCTGCCGACTGCTTGGAGTTCAACTCGGACCTTTAACCTTGCATCGCCGTCCGAGCATAGAGCTGATGCAGAAAGGCCACGAGACAACGTGTTGGCAGTGCGGCTGGATGGTTCAGGAGACGGGTACCTATCAGAGCAGAAAGACTGACAACAAAAGTACAGGATAAATAATAGAGGCCGATCACGGTACATAGTCCAGACGAACGTTGAATGGCGACTCTAACGGCAAGGTGTCTCCGGAGACGAAACCAAGACGCAGATTCCAGGCTCAATGGCCTATACTCAGACGTCTTGCGGCTGCTGGGAGAAGAGTGATGCGGTTCTCGCGGTTTGCCAGGCGGGATATGATGTATCGCAGCTTGGCTCAACCTTGTGATGGCGTTCCTAATGAACGATGACGGCGGGCGCATGAGGCAACGAACTGAAAGGGCATCAGATGAGGCCGAACGAGGGGCGTTGGCGAACCTTGAAGGTGGAAGGAGTTCCAGATTGACGTCCAAGTGGTTCATGCCATGGTCAGACAGCTCCCAGGCGGACCTGCCTTGAATGTTTCTTCCACTTTGGGAAGCGATGTGTACGTACCGTAGGTAAGTACCTCTGGAGGAGGCAGATGTACCTACCGTAGGTACCTGAACGTCTCCACAGATCGCCTGGACCTACTTGCTAGCGCATGTCACTGCCCGTTGCCCGTCCTTAGCGGCCACCTGTTAAGCCTCGCTCAACCCCGCCAAAGTCAATGGGCAGACTTCACAGGTACCAAAGACGACCGTTTTTTTTTTTTTTTGGATCCGAAGTCAGACCAACCTGAAAGTTTACCTAGGTAGTTGCCTAAGCCCATTTGAAAGACAGAACAAAGGCATTTGCACATTTCTGACTTGCATTTCTATACTTGCTTCAGGCTCACATCCAGAGAGTAAACCGACCGGTCGGATTAATGGGAAATTCAACGTACAACTCTTTCTAGAACGCCTCCACCAGGCTCAAGATATCCGATCATCGGACGTAAGCCTCCCAGAGAGGGCTCTCGTGCTAGCCTCTTCTTGCCAACGTGGATTTGACACCTCATAAAAACTATCCAATGACGCGGTGATGCTTCAACTAATCTACTCCACAAAAATGACGCATGGGAAGCAATCTGGGGGACTATTAAGTTGACAAAGTGCACCTAAAGGTTGTTTCCCTCTACTGTCCCCATTGTTTTTCAAATGGGTAGATCAGCCAAACTAGTCCCATCATATGTGCAATTCGAACATACTATGACAATCCTTATATAGCAAATGTGCTATTACACCGAAATTAGTGTAGCGAATGAAGAATATTAGTGTGAGATACCCAGGTCTCCTAGCCCCCCCAACGGAAGTTTGTCCATCCACCAGCTTCCTGCCTCTCGCGGTCGCTCTTAGCGTAGTAGAGGTGGCTCAAAAGCGTACGATCCCCATTCTCCTGGAACCTGTCACGCTTTTCTTGCGGTCCCCACGCCACCAGCATCCGTTGGCGTCGCACAAGCTGAGGTTCCTTGATGACATCCTTGCGACCAATCTGTCGCATGTATAGTGCCGGCGTAAGAGTGCAAACGTTGAGCAGGTGGTGATATAACTCCTTTTTAGTAGGCGGAGGGTCAATCTTTGCCAAATTGAAAGCCTTGCGGTTTTGGACTATGTTCTTGCAGTCGAGGTCTTGCAAGTTGTCGAGAAAGTCGGTTGAAGTTTGCATCTCGCCGTCCGCGCCCCAAACTATGTATGGGTTGATGTCGAAATAGAAATGGTTGGTGGAGACCTGGATCTTCTCGTACAGTTGCATTGCGGGCTTGATGCAAATCTGTTCAAAGTTCCTGAAGAATGAATCTATCTTGTCTCTTCGACAGAATATTTTGAAAACACTCGCAAGTTCTATTGTGAGCTCGCGCAATTTCTTTTCCCGGCAGCCTTTGAAGTCGCGGGAGCTCAAGATTGCATTGTATGCTTCTGCCGTCCAAGTTCGTATCGCGAACAGATCTGCAACATGAATCAGCTATCAGTACAGAGGTTCAATGGTAATCCTGAAAGAATATGCTGGTACCTCGCTTTGGGTCGACATGATTTTGGAGCGCTGTTTCCACGAAGCTGAGGACTTCGACGTAGTTGGCGATGGAGCCGTACATGATATTTTGGAAAATGTTCTCGTTGATGAACCTCATAATGGTTGCAATAATAATGTCTTCGTCCGTTTCTGGAAAGACTGCGCCATGAACTAGGTCAGGGTATTGGTGTATGACCTGCTTCAACTTGAGGGCGTCGCTAGGCCTCCTGCGGGCAGCCGTCATCAGGTCTTCGACCCCCTTTTCATGGTCATCTAGATAGGGGTCCATGAACTTGGAAACCCAATCGCTGATTCCCTCGACAAGATCATCGTATTCCTACCAGCCTGTCAGACGAATCTCGCTGAGTGTCTCGGGAGGTACTTACGCGCCCAACTTCCTCGGGAGTGAGCTCTTTGCGGTAGGGCTGAAGGCTAAAGATGTGAGATTGGGCATCTCTGAGTTGTTCTTTCAAAACCGCGTTCTCTGTGTTGAGCTCATTGATCTTTGACGCAAGAGGGGCTGTGTCTTTTTCAATCTCTGTAATAGTCGAGGTTACGGTTGACTTGATCTCGCCTATCCTCCGCTCTGCTAGTTCTACCTTCTCCTCGGCAATCTCAGCTCGAGCCGTTGTTGACTTGAGCCTATAGCGCAGCTCCATGATCTCACGACGTAGCAATGCGTCATCACTGGAATCTGCCTCGTCTCCGCCGTCGCGTGCATTCGGGATAACGTCTTTCTCGGAAAGCTCCCTTGATGGCGAAGAAATATCAGCACCAAGGTCGATCAGGTCGCATTCGACAAAAGAAGATGATGTTACTGTTGAAGAAGGCGATAGAGGATGACGAGAAGAATTGGACGCAGGATAGTTATTGAAACGAGTGGCAACGAGGCCTTTGGGTAGAGCTTGCCTGGGTCCGCTGCTTTGAGGCCCGTTCTCCGTAGCAGGCATCTCGACCTTGGTGAAGCCCATGGTGTCAGTGTCAGAAGTCGCGTGTGAGCTGACTGGGTCTATTGTGACAGTTGCTTGAGTTCCCGGGGCTTGACTGTAGGTAAGTCTCGAGTCGTCGAGGATCATGGCATCAGCATCGACGTCGATGGGTCTCTTGTCCAGACTTGGTGGGCTGTGATCCTCGCGGTGCTGCGGAAGAGCCGGGTCTACCTGTCTGAGATCCTCCATCATGCCATAACGTAGTCCTGCAAAATGGCAACAATGAACAAGATGTTTGGATGAAAAGAGAGGTCCGAGTCTACCTGTGCGTCAGAAGTAAGAATGACTTGGAGAAATGAGATGTTGTCGAAGGAGAGGCCTGGGGGAAGTTGCACGGACAGGACAAGGAAGATTCTAGTTTCTTGAGGAACCTATCAAAGGTTGAATACTCAGGCCAGGCACCTTGGGTACCTCGAAATGCCGCCTATCGTGCTCAGCCCAAAACAAAAGTTCAAGGTGGTACATCAGACCTCATTGTATGATGAATCCTGAGGCTGGGCCCAGAACAGGAATCCCGGAAGAACACCCTCAAGTCTCTCGAACATTTTTGGAGCTTGATTGAGCTCGCAGTCGGCTTCTCATGGGCTTGTCTTGGTACCTTACCATCAGGAGGCAAGGCAGCTTTCGGTGAAGGAGGACTGTTGCTGCATTGAAGCTGCTTGCTCAGTAACCCCGCCAAGTGGGGGGCGGATAACGGCGGGTGGGGCACTGATGAAGTACGTACCTTTAAGGCTGACACCCTGGTTGTGCTCAGAAGTACCGGTCCACTCCATCAAAGTCACTTTCTTTGACAGGCATCCTGATCTTCGACAAGAGGTAGGTAGTCTAGAAACAGCCCAACATGTTGGAGTGATGCTGGGAGGCAGTGAGGATTGGACACTTTGGAACAACAGTGGCATAATACAGACCGAAAGGTGCCTCATGATGGTGCCTGAGCTACATGGCATGCCGGACGAGTATCTCGGCGCTTGGACATACGACATGTCGATACATCCAGACGTGTCCGACAATGGAAGTCAGAACCCGCATAAGCTTGATGGATAAGGCAGTGATTTCTCCAGAGGGCTGATTATTTTAATTCAATGATTGATAGCTCTCGTTCATGTGCAGTCTTATTCGTGCGTCGATTTTTTTTTGTCTCCCTTACCTTTAGGTGCCTTAGTCTGAGATACCTCTGAAGTCTACCTGCTCGTGCCTGCCTAAGAAAGGTCGATCAGCCAGGGAAGGAGCTACAAGCAAATCGGAACTTCCTTCCTCACCCGTTTACGCAACGCCCCGTCAAGGACGTGAAGACCAAAAAGGTTCAGACAGAGCCTCTTGCTGCCGTGCACCCTCCCAGAAGTCCACCCAAGCTTCATCAAGGCAGATTTTCTTTCGCCTGCTGACCTCTACGTACCTTGCCCGAGCACATTTTTCCATCAAGTTTGATGAGGCCCAGCTTCTGACATCGCCCTCCTTCCTTCCACCTCAAGTTTTCCTTTTTACCTTTTTGCACCTCTTTCTACTGCGACCAGGCCATCCTGAATAATTGAAATCTTCTTCACCCTCTTCTCGGGTCCGTCAAGCCTACTCGGATACAGCTTCATTTGGAAACAGACAGGGCTTCCACTACACTGATCACAAGACTTTGATCTGTTCTGGTGGGTGACAGCCGATCATCGACTTGCATCTGCCTCTTACATCCATACACACTTGTTATCGCTTCTCAGCTTTTGATACCTTCTGCAACACCCGGCAGCAACACAGCGCCTAGTCATGGACGCCTTTGACTTTGGGCAGCTGTCCGTCAGCGGGCGCAAGATCATTGTTGGCATCGACTTTGGTACCACTTATTCAGGAGTAGCATGGGCTGAAACCCAACGTCCCGATCGACGGACTGCCATCACTACCTGGCCGATCAGCAAGACCATCCGCGAGGGCGAATCTTCGGACAAAGTCCCTACCAAGCTGCGATATGCCGGCGACGAGATCCAATGGGGCTTTTCAATCCCCGTTACTGCACCACAAGATGAAGTTGTCGAGTGGTTCAAGCTGTGAGTACCTTGAATCCCAATCAACCTCAGTCTCGGCACAATGAGTTCGGATGTTATAGGACACGGCAGAGCTGATGTATTCCAGTGATCTCGATCCTTCTCTCCAAAGCATGGGTCAAGCTGTCTCCTCAGAGGCTCGAGGTGGCCGCAATGTCGACAAGCTTGTGACGGACTACATCTCTGCCCTGGGCAACCATCTCATCTACACATTGAAGGAGAAGCTCGGAGAGCAGGTTGTCAATACCACCCCGTTGGAATTTGTTGTCACGGTGCCTGCTATCTGGTCAGATCTCGCCAAGGACAAGACCAAGCAAGCCTGCCAAAGGGCTGCCGGCCTCAACACTGTTACCAACACTGTTGCTCCCATCCATCTTGTTTCTGAGCCCGAGGCTGCTGCCATCTATGCCTTGCATGGCCTGGATCCACATGGGCTCAAGGTGGATGATACTGTGGTGGTTGTGGATGCTGGAGGAGGAACTGTGGACTTGATCTCGTACACCATTACCAGTCTCAAGCCTATTCTGGAGGTCCAAGAGGCTGCTCCAGGATCTGGTGCGCTGTGCGGCTCGACATTCCTTAACATGCGCTTTGCCAAATTTCTAAAGGCTAAGCTGGGCAAAGAAGACGGATTTGATGACGAGATTATGGCCGAGGCCATGGAACAGTTCGAAAAGAAGGCAAGCTTATATCCTTGATCACTCTTTGACCTTCAAGGGTATCTTGACTAGAGCTCTTTGACTAACAGTGCACAGGTCAAACGACAGTTCACGCTCGGCGCTGCTCCAGACGACACCTACACCATTCCAGTCGGTGGTCTGGCGAATAACAAAGAGCTGGGAATCAACCGCGGTCGTTTCGCCTTGAAGGCATCAGATCTCCAAACCATCTTCGAGCCCGTTGTTCTCGAGTGCATCAAGCTTGTCAAAGACCAGATCACAGCAAGCAACGTGCCGATTCGTGCTATTCTCCTGGTTGGCGGTTTCGGCGCATCCAACTATCTCAAGGAGCGTTTGCGCAACGCTATCGACAAGAGCATCCAAATCATGCAGCCACCCAATGCTTGGCAGGCAGTGGTTCAAGGCGCTGTCATGAAAGGTCTAGCTCAAGTATCTCCTGACAAGCTTACGCAGGTCAAGGTGCAGAATCGCAAGGCCCGGAAGCACTATGGCACCGAGTGGCGAAGCAAGTACGATGCCAAGCTTCACAAGCATCTCGAACACAAGCGACACTGGTGCGGCTTGGATGGTTGCTACAAGGTGTACACCATGGAGTGGTTCATCCAACGCGGCGATAACGTCTCCGAAAACGAACCCTTCTACACATCATTCGTGTGGACCGGTCTGGTCAGTCAAGGCCGCATCAAGAAGATCAAGATGGATATCTACGCCGATCGCAACCAGAGAATTGCGCCTGTTGCTCGAGATGAGAATGTTTCAATGCTCGTTCATGTCGAGGCTGATGTCGGACACATTCCCGAGCACATGCTCTCCCGCCGCCAAGGACTTGATGGCCAATGGTACTACGAGCTGAATTGTAAGATTGAAGCCGTGTATCTTTCGGCCTCAACCACGTACACACTGCTCTACAATAGTGAGTTTCCCTTCCACTAGGCATCTTGACACGAACGTTAACCCCTTCTAGATCAACGGTACAACACGGTGACGGCAGAGTATGTATGATCTCGTCATGCTTTGGCTGCAGACGCATGTAGTTGGGATGCACCTTCCATCTGGATACGGGAGCACTTTGGGTCATGGGATTGATGAGCACATATGAAGAGATAATAGTGTACACAACACAAACATTGCGCGATGTTTCTACTCCAGAAGTTCTGCTTCTCTGGAAGGAACAATCAAGGTTTATTGAAATTCAAGCCAAATCAAGTATTTTTGTGCGCCCAAATGACTTTGGCCCCTGGATGAACATTTTCTTAATTGGTCAATACCATGATCGAACTACTTTGTGTGTTCCTAAGACGCTGATCATTTCAACTCGCTCGTTAGAGTCTGGAATCCGGGCAAGGGATTGGTGGTTGCTATTGACTATTTGGCGTTGTGGCGAATTAATCACACGCCTGGCCCTTTAGTCGGAATGACAATAGACGGCGGAAGCAAAGACGAGGTGAAGAGGACAACATTGGAATATCGGGACAAAAGAGACAGCTGAGAGAACTCAATTCAAACTACCAATCTGGGAACTTGGGCACACTCGGTCTGGCTTTGGTTCAGTTGGTTCTCCTTAAATGCTTCCCTCCAGCGCGACGCATCCCCAGGTAGTTCCAAAGCTTTTGACACCAATGACACCAATGAATGACCTGTGAAGGGTTACTTTGGCTACTGCAAACATGATCGCAAGGAGCTGTAGCTAATGCTCGCTGTACCCTAAAAGGGAATGGGACCATGTTAGCTGATGGCGGATGTGGCCGAGAGGCGTTATCAGTGGTCGCGATAGAGGAATCGGACCCCTGCACAAAATCTGACCGAGGCCAAATTTCACAACAATTAAGACCTTGACTTGGGATGCGCGACTTTGACTCCTTTCTTCATCACATCAACAATTTCAAGATCGTCGGGAAAGAACCACACGACAATACAGTCCTAACAACCAACGACATCACTGCGCTGTTCGTAACCCCAGGTAACCCCTACAATCACGATGCAAACCAGATCTGACCCTGAACAGGTTGAAGGTAGAGGCGACGACGCCGCCCACCGCAACGATGGCGACGAACACACCGTCGCGGGCTGGCTCACCGTAGCCGGCTCGTTCCTCGTCTACTTCGTGTCCTTTGGCTACATGAATAGCTTTGGGTACTTCCAGGACTACTACCTCGGCTATAGTCTGGGCGGGTACCCCAGCTCGGTCATCGCGATCATCGGGTCGCTCCAGCTTGGTCTTATGAACCTCATCCAGCCTGTCGCCGGTGGTCTCGCCGATTCATACAGCCCGAGCATTCTCTACGCTATCGCAGCTGTCGGGGCGATTGTCTCCAGCGTCGGCGTCTCATTCGCCCAGCCGGGCCACATTTGGCAGTTCATCCTCACTCAGGTACGTGTGGTCACTAGTGCCCGACGAGCCGAGATCGATCTAACGTCAACAACAGGGCGTCATCTTTGGATCAACCGCCGTGTTTGGCACAGCGGTGTCCTTGCCTCTCGCTAGTCAGCACTTTACGAGAAGACGCGCATTGGCCATTGGTATTGTCGCTAGCGGGAGCAGTGCAGGAGGAGTCTGTCTCCCCATCATGTTCTCTCATCTTGTGCCACGCATTGGCTTCGGTTGGGCTTTGCGGATTGCTGCGCTGATTGCTCTAGTATGCTACGGGATCGCTATTCTCATCTCGCGGCCCAAGCTGCCTCGCAAGCCTGTGAAATCCATCTGGTCTATTGTGGATTTCAATGGCTTCCGCGACCCCCAATACTCTACACTGGCGTTTGCTAATGTGGTTGGCAACTTTGGGCTTTACGTACCCTTCTACTACTTAGGTATGTGTTCATTTATGCTTGGACAGTCTGACTCAATATGGCTTCGCGATATTGTGTAAACTTGAGGCAGACATCAAGTGTGCCGTTACAAGGTTGCAGGCTGTCGATCCAGCACTCGATGTCCCTGCTGAATGCCTTTTGACCGCGGGCTGACGGATGATACCCTCATTGAATACAGCTAATCTCTTCACCAGAGCCGTACATTGCGGTTCACCACCCGGGAGCCGCGGTGAGGAACTACCTTCTCCCGCTTATCAACGGATCGAGTTTCTTCGGCCGAGTGATGTAAGTTATTGAATCTTCCAATGTGCCATCGTGAGTTCCACACTGACGCATCCTAGTGGTGGATACGTAGCCGATCATACTGGTGGATTGAACCTCCTCTATCCACTGACGGCAATTTCGGGCATACTCTGCCTTACTTTGTGGCTTCTATCCACCAGCGTCAGCATGATTGTAGCTTTTGCCTGTTTGTACGGTATGTTTTTTCCATTACTTTATGCATGCATCGAGCTTGCGGGGTTTATTTCAACTCGGCTAATCAAAAAGCAGGCTTCTGCTCGGGAATATTTATCAGCGTCACACCGTCCGTGACCGTCAGGCTCTCTCCAACTGATAAGGTCGGTGCCCGGCTGGGCGCATTCTCCATCTGGAGTACAATCGGAGTCTTCACCGGCACGCCCATAGGCGGCGCTTTCGTCCGGCAAGGAACTCCGGAAGAGTATCAGCATCTGATCATCTTCACCGGCATGTGCCTCACTGCCTCTGCTGTACTGCAGTTTGCGACGCGCATCCTCTGTGATAGAGATCTACGCAAGAAGTGGTAAAAGTCTTCTGCTATCGGGCAACAAGGCCAGACACCACGAGGTTAGCTTGTCTGCGGTCCGGCAGCGAGCCGGCAAGCGAAGTTGGGGGCCGATTTTGTTGGAAAAGATCATGGCACGGGGGGGATATGGGGAACGGTGGAGTGCAAGAGAACATATGGATAGTCGAGGAGGATCTGCACCAGGCAGGAAGTTAGCGATGGAGAGGCGGTCTATGATGTTGGGAGAAATTGGCATGGGGTTGAAATGTTGAGTTGGTTCATAGCCATGTCTGAGCCTTGGCTTCTACGGATGCTTGCCCGGGGTGGAGCGCTGAGGTGTGGCATCCGCGTCGATCGGCGGGACTTCGCGGAATCATCCGACTTGAGTAGAGGTCCAAAACATCCGAAACATCTATGTTGTCTGCATAAGGTCTTTAGCCACATCAAAAACCACGGATAGCATATGTGCCTCATAGCTTCCAGCCCAGAGTCAACCGAGTTGTGGTAGACATAATCCCGGTCGATGTTACTTCAAATATGGAGGCCCATGCTTGAATAGTTGTATGGATGCACTTCCACTACTTCTTGGCAGCCAAGAAATAGTCCAGCCTCCTCAACTACATGTCAACAAATACGTGGAAAGCCCCATATCATCAATGAGAAAAAAATCTCCATGAAATGCTATTCGGATGCAAATGAATGGCAAGCTTTGACTCATTGGCATTAAATGGCCGCATCGCGATATTTGCCGGAGAGCGTCCGAGATGAGCTGGCTCTCTGTCAGTAGGGGCACAAGGTAAGGGAGGCAATCGTACTTTACTCCGTAGTCCGTACTAAAACAAATAACATGAGACACAGGCCAATTGTCTACGTCATACAAACAAGAAGCAGAAAGAATTTTGGCACCATTTTGCTCTTCTATTAGATGTGCTGATCTACATTTGTTAAGTGGAATAATTTCTCGCGGCACTCTGGAGCAATGCTCGGTGTTTTGGACAGCTTACCGTCCATAATCTAGACGTCTAGTCTCGATGGGACCTGATGCTTCTATGATGAGTGAAGTCTTTACTTCATGAGTTTCATATTTACTCACTGCGACTAGCCAAAGTCTACGCGCGTTGCCTGGCTCCAGCAACAGCACAACTGTGAAGGTGCCTCAGAATCGGCGTTTGAGTCTCGGAAGATGGCCATCTTGTTCCCCGGATAGCCGAGACTCATTCGTCTGCCGCAGTCTGAATGCTTTGTGGCTGCCACATGAGTTGTGGATAGAAACCATAAACTTTTCTTTTCAACGTGGGAACCCTGGCTAACCCGGCGCTTTCCGCACTTGCTGGTTCGCATGAATCCCGCTCACACTCCCAATCCTTGACGATCGCTCATATTTCTGCCGTGACCTGAGGGACTATTCCACTTAATAGAGAAAGCAGAATGAGGCAATCCGCATAGTGAGGTGGCAATCCGTCTCCATGCTGCCGCCATTCAGGGGAAATCACTGCAGCCTTTGTGATATCTGACATGTTGGATGTGATCCTCTCGAGCGGTCAAAAGCAGTTGTGGGACATGACTTATTAGCCTCCGGGTTATCTCTCGGGGGATATTTGTTCTGCTCGGCGCTTACGGTTGGAGAATTATCGTTTGTCACCGGTCCCATCTGCATTTCAATTGCGTTCCACCTTACTCAAGCTCTGCTCAGGCAATCTGCGCGGACTTAACCTGCAAACGTCGAAAACATTCAGAGAACAAGTGATGCGGTAAACACAACGGGTCAGGTGGTGGCATGCGCTCAGAAAGACTTTGCAAACAAAGGTATCAGTAATGAGCCAAGAAACAATCTGAGAGTTGATTTCTGAGGCGAACTCACCAAGTCATTGGGTAAAAGCAAAGCGGACTTCAAAGAGGGGGGAATGGAGTCGTGCTTTCGCCCGCTAATGAGTGTGGGCAGAATGAGGTTTATTATCGCGAAATGGAAGCACCTTTTGAAAAGTCAGTTTTATTGCTGCTATGCGTGATAAGAAAGCTGCATAGCATCTGGCCACTGCGTCCTTTTGGTCCGTGAGACTTTCTGTGCTATGGAGCTGACTTGCAGACTAGCAAGCTGGCGTTGAACTCTGTTAGATGCGCAGCGCACGAGGCACATTTCGCAACGTGTCTGGGTATGATGTAAGAATAATTCCACTTTCACGAGAAAAATGTGACAGAAGCAAACAAGTGAAGGGAGAAGGTTTTCGAGTTGGAAGGCACAAACCTGGGGAAGCTTAGGTTCCGTCGTTGCGCGAACACCTATAGCCCCCATCTATATCAAGCGAATGAAGGTTTTCGGCAAACCCTCGTTGAGGCTCCTTCCGAACTTCCCACACACCACTCCACAGCTCTAGCAGATATACTATATTCGAGACAAGCTTATTTGAGTAGTCCTTCTAGACGTAATCTCTGTGAGTGCGAGCTCAATATGACGCCAGTACTTCGTTCCCAGGAAAAGAAATGTTCTTCGGGCGTCCAACAATGGCGATCCTTGCCGGCGTTTGCCCCAAGTTTAGGTAGCCGTCCTATGTCTGACTGACTCGGCCGGCGGTCACCCCTGTTCTTGATATGTCACGGTGAACACAAGCTTTGATTGACAGTCTTGGCAGAGCCCTGCTGAGAACGCCTCCATTTGAGATATAAATCAACCAGTTCCCACGGCCTTGGCACCGGTTGAGATATCTCTCGAACTGTCACCAGAAGATCTTCTACTCTGATCATTACCATCCTTTGAGCTTTGGCTCGTCCATTCTTTATTCGTTCACTCTCTCGTACTTATCGCCCTAGGGCACTCCGACATAACAAACTACTTCACACAACAAACATTTCTGCTTTTAAACATGGTTTCTTTCTTCGCTCTCGCTGGCCTGGCTGCCACCGCCCTGGCTGCGCCTGTTAGCCAGTCCGGCTGCACTTTCACCGACGCCAACGCTGCCATGAAGGGCAAGGCCGGCTGCTCGAACATTGTCTTGAAGGATATCGCTGTCCCCGCTGGAGTCACTCTTGACTTGACTGGCCTCAAGTCGGGTGCTACCGTACGTCGATTCCTGGAGATCACCTCTAGTGGTCAATAAGCCACTATCATCTCTCGGTCAGATTTACTAACCAAATCAACAGGTTACCTTCCAAGGCAAGACTACCTTCGGATACAAGGAGTGGGCTGGTCCCCTCATTTCCGTTTCGGGCTCCAATGTCAACGTTGTCGGCGCCTCCGGTCATGTGATTGACTGCGGCGGCCAGCGCTGGTGGGATTGCAAGGGCAGCAACGGTGGCAAGACGAAGCCCAAGTTCTTCGCTGCCCACTCTCTGCAAAACTCCAACATTCGCGGCCTTAACGTGCTCAACACCCCTGTTCAGGCCTTCTCCATCAACACCTGCACCAACCTCGGCATCTACGATGTCAAGATTGACGACTCCGCCGGCGACAGCGGTTCCCAGTGCGGCCACAACACCGACGGCTTCGACGTTGGGTCTTCCAACGGCATCTACATCTCTGGTTGCACTGTCAAGAACCAGGATGACTGCCTTGCTATTAACTCCGGTACCAACATCACTTTCATCGACGGCACTTGCATTGGCGGTCACGGTCTCTCCATCGGATCTGTTGGTGGACGCTCCAACAACGTCGTCAAGACCGTTCGCATCCTCAACTCCAAGATTATCGACTCGGACAACGGCGTTAGAATCAAGACCGTTGCTGGTGCGACTGGCGCTGTTTCGGACGTTGTTTACTCCGGTATTACCATGACTGGTATCAACAAGTACGGCGTCATCATTCAGCAGGACTACAAGAACGGATCTCCTACCGGCAAGCCCACCAGCGGTGTCCCCATTACCGACCTTACTGTGAGCAAGATTACTGGCAACATCAAGTCTTCCGGTACCGACGTTCAGGTTCTTTGCGGATCCGGCGCTTGCCGCAACTGGAAGTGGGAGGGAGTCAACGTTTCCGGTGGTCAGAAGGCAGCCAAGGCTCTCAACGTCCCGCAGAGCGCGGTTCAGAGCGTCAACACCAAGTTGTAAGCGGCTGTTAGCACAGACATCGTCGTAATATGGCGAGTTGGGACAATTGTGTACATGATGGACCGGTCTTTTGGTATCGGTCTAGATGTAGCTCAAAAACTTGCTACAAAGTGGTGTCCCAACATCAGCTGGAGACGAATTATGTTCTTTTGTATGCAAATATGTATATCGTATCATCTTGCTGGTCACGATATGAACATATAATTAAAC